TCGGGATCGGTATCCCACAATGAATCTTGTAGACTGACAATTGGAGTAAAGACTATTTATACATGTAAAATGATAAATAATCAATTATTAATTTAATTTCAATTTATTTATTCAATTGAAGGTTGGGAATCATATTTTCTTTGATTGTCAGATTCTATCGCAATTTTATACTATCCAAGGATGTTGTTTTCTGCATGATCTATCATGCTAGTAAATAAATAGCTTACTACACTTAGAGTTGTTTACACCTTTAAAGAAGCTACAAAGCAGACGACACATGCGTTCCTTAAAAAAGCTTGGAACACTAGTTTTTTATTTAAGCAAATGTGCGAACAAAATTTCACGTCGTGTCAGTGAACACAGAGCTCATGTAGACTAGATAAGACAATAACTGCCCCAGGTAATTGTTGGCTTCAGGAAGTTGATAAATATGAAATACGTTAAGTTAGACGGGTCGGTGATTTGGTCATTTGTTTGAAAATTAAATTTTTACTCATTACACAGTTAGAGATATCGTCTACATATTAAAAGTGTTAGGTCGTACTTGTACGGACGAGAATGTTAATCATGTAAAAAACCCTCTATATTACAATGAAGCGTATTGAAGTGGCAAAATTTTTCGTTTGAGTGGAAAGTTTGGGTGTTTCTTATTGAACGTCAATTGCTACATAATGACACGCCCATTTCTTTAGAAACGAGAAAGAAATATTCGTCGTAATGCTCTAGTGCACCCCACTCTCTGCGACTAGCGACAAGAGTTAGGTTAGAAGAGAGAGTTAGAGACACCGCTTCTGTAAAACACGTATTGCAACAAACATGTACATAATTATGATTTTATCATGTTTACTAAAGTTACCACAACACATGTATCGGTCGAACAAGCGTTTAATCGGTGTTAATGTAGACTGTAAATTTGACTGGCTATTATATTTATGGAATACTTGTTCTACAGGTATTCGAATGAACCATTTGACCGTTGTTTTTCTTTCTAAAGAAGTAGGCGTGTCATTATATGACAATCAACATTCTAAAGAAAGCCCAAAACGTTCCATTCAAACGGAGAATTTTACCACTTCAATGCGCTTCATTCTATTATAGTTTACAAGAATATTACAAGAATATTACATTCAGTCAAAGTATCTTAGAAAGAGTTTTACATGTATGCTTAAGTTGTAAATGGCATTTAACAGACTCATATTTTATGCCGATTTTTTTCTTTACGATTTTCAAAAAAAGATTTATATTAAATACACGTGGAAAGTTAAAAGTTCTAAGGCTGTGCCTTCTCGTGACCTTTTAACCACTCTATAGGGTGTCTAGAGAAAACTAATAAAATCTTATACGGTAACTATTACATACCTTTTTAAACGGAGTGTAAAGCTACTAGATCATCACATGAATTTAATATTAATTGAAATAACATTGTATACCCCGCTCTGTATTGAATTTGGTTTGGTCACGTTATTGAACAGTCACGTGATAAATGTATGTAATGTGTACTGTATGTAGGTCATGAACAAATTTCAATATCGCAAGGGCATACCCTAGTTCAACTTAAAAAAAATAAGCAATAAATTGTTTCTACATATCTTGTAGTTTATGGAAAGTGCTTCTGCTTTAAATAGAATTCGCATTTTGAAGTTATTGAGCTCTAGTCAAAATATGTGTGACCTTTACCAAGTATTTTATGTATTTATTAAGTTATGCTCTCGATTTCATGAAAGCATCGGCACTTTTCAAGTTAAGGAATGTTACCGTTATGTATATTTAAAAAATGGTCAAGATCTATAAACTGTATGCCCTTGCAAAAACGCGATTTAATGAGGCACCTCGGCGTGAAACATGTAAACCCTGTACAAAAAACACGGTAGAATTAATTCAATACATTCTCTCGATAGTTTTTTAAATAATGACACTAAACAAAGGTTTCAGATTTGTATTAATGGTCAACCTAACATTTGCAAATAATATTCTCTTTAATAATAAAATGCATTTTTCACTGTGAAAACAATACTTGATCCGCCTCTCACTGCACATAAAATGCGTCAAATTTTACCATGATGACGTCACGTCGACAAGTGCATTGCGGTCGGTGACTTGTTTATATCTTGCTTTGTGGGATTTAACTAAAGATAAAAATGAATGCAGTGGTAAGTTTTGATGTACGTCATTAACCATATGCAGTTTAAAATCGCAAATTATTTCATTTTCTGTTATTGTGAGGAATTGCTATTTTTGTGTGATGTCACAGTAAGCATTTCCCGTATAATTAAGGCCCCGCCCCCTTTATGCAGCCTTAACAGTGCTGCGTTATTGAAATTGGTTTAGTAGATCCGAAGAAGATTCTGAAAATGTTTAAATGTTAAAGCTGAACACGACTCGTAAATAGGCATACGCCATTTTTATATTACAATCTACGATATCAGCACCAGAGTATACTCCTAGCATTCGTTACACCTGACTGCTTTATTGTCACAGGTATCGGCGTGGCATGGCGACCCGCGTGTTCGTGCTGGTTATCTTGCATTACCTTTGTTTACATTTTATTGCAGTTACGTGTATTTGTGTTTGTTTGTATACTGCACTGACATGTGCAACTATTGAAAGTTTCTTTGATATCTTACTTTCCTGCATACGTGTAAGAAGAGGTATACAGTTATTTTTTCGTCGCTACCGAGTGCTGTATAGTATACGTCCGTCTGCACAGGTGACGACTGATTACACTGAACAGTGACTAAGTCGGCCGCTTTATATAGGGGTCCTCAGATATAGGAATATAGGTCATCTGAGTGTCTCAGTTGACTTGAAATGCAATACATTTCCTTTGATTACCTGTCAATTTTATTAGAGGCTTAATTATCATTTCAGACCCTGTTTGCCTTGAAAAGAAGAGCATGACTTTTATTAACAGGTATTTATTTTCTCTGTTTTTTGTTTGTTTGTTTGTTTGTTTTTTTGTTTCTGTTTTGTTTGTTTGTTTGTTTGTTTTTCTTCAAGATGAACATATTTTAGTGATTTAAATTTTGTTATTTAACTCTATTTTCATAAGAAAATACAAGCTCAAGACTCATGCAAAATTTTATGCCAATTTGTATGATACCTTGTGTAAATACCAAGGTTCACTAGGAGATTCTTTTGGCTTCTTTGGCCCTGTAGAATTAAGAAAAAAAAATCTATAATTGAAAGTTCCTCTAAGTATCATATAGACCCATCTTGATAAGCAGTTCTTCAATATCTTTTACGGAGCTCAACATCGGATCCAAATATTTGGAGATAGAATTATTACTGAAATTTTGAAAACGCACCTTTCATTTTTTGGGTTCGGAAAATGTGCTCGTACTCGTATTACCAAAACACCATTTTTCGCTAAATCAAGAACTTTGAAATTTCAGAAAACCTTTTTTTTCAATACACATGGACTTTCGGGAAGAATTATCTTTATATGTAATGAAAGCATTGCTTTAGTTTGTTAAATTAATATTTTAATATTTGTGAAGGGGTATACTCGTAGGTTAAGTGGACCAATGTCTTTCTGCAATTAGATTTAGATTTTCTGTTCGAAAATTGAGAGAATATTGTAATAATGTCTCTTTCCAGTAATGAGATCGGCAATTTTAAGGAGCCCAATGTTTTCAGTAGTAATCATATCGGAGTTAAAATTGGATTATTTACCGGGTTTGTGATGACTGTTATACTGGTGACACTAGGTGTAGCTGTGTGCTACTGGAAGAGTAGGAATAAAGATATAGAAGGTAACTGTTACTTTAAATAGTTGTACATAATATCGATTGATTGATTGATTCTATGTTGTTTAACGTCTCATTCAAATTTTAACTCATTTAGATGCCACTTGCTTTAGTTGAAGTGCTAGATATGTTTACCTATTTCGCTTACTGTGGTACGAGTGAGAGACTTTTTATTGTACCAACGCGTATCATGACAAGGGACCCCAGTTTTTAAAAGTCTCGTTCGGAAAACCCATAACTTCCACTTGTAATGCCTGGCGCTTCATTAGAAACATTCACCACTTATGTATTAAAGTTTTAGATTTGACGGGGCACCGGAAACGAGAATCGAACCTAGATCAGACTTACCAATCACTAGTTAATGCGACTGATCATTGAACATTATAAACTATTAAAAGCATATTCTTATCTGCACACATACGAGTATTGGCCTTATCAGTGTGAGAATGTTGAAAATTTCAAATAGAAAAATGAGATTTTTTCAAACATTATCGGTTTTAAAAGCCATGAGCAGCAAGCAATGCTGTATAATATACCATATTAAAACTCCATCATTGGCATGTTGCTGTTTAAATGCGTCTATGATCCACTTTTATTCCATTTTTCAAATTGTTCTGTCTAATTACAAGTAAACTTTGTATTAAAATAGTGATTATGAATATGCATTTATAAAAAATGAAATGATAATGTGTTAACACTGGTATATGTAGCTTGCTTTAATCTTTACAGACAACTCGGTGTAATCTCTTCAAATGCCTGTTTTTTTCAATTGACATCAATTTGAGAATGATGAGGACGTACAATGATTAAAAATATCAATTCAAAATTTAAAATGGTAATGTAAGATGCCCAAAAATACAACAAAAAAAATTGTCTAAATGAAATAAGTTTTACATTTTGTGAAAGGAGAATTCATTTACTTAATTGCTACTTTCAGTGCTGCGTTCACTTAAAGCTGTCTTATAAACGCTAGCCCCGGGATATGCATAGTACATGTATAAAAGTTGTTGTATTGAAGAGATGAAAGTTTGACCATTTTGGTATATTTTAAAAGTGAAGAGTGGAAAGTTTGACGATCTACTAGTATTAGCAGTGCGTTTTAAAAGAATGTGATAATTGAAGAGTTGACAAAAACTTTGACGATTTTCTGAAAATCTTCAATTTCGTCAACGTTTCCACGTCGTCAAAGTTAACACGGTATTGTTTAAGAAATTCAGTTTATATACGCTGCTTTTAATTATTGCTTTAAAAAATATGGATGCTGGAAAAGTCAAAAGCTACCTGGATCTTGATAGTTTAAGATTGGACACACACGATGAAATAGAAAGACATCTGAAGAAAGCATTGTCTTCAACAAAATGTAAGAGGAGGAATTGCGAGTGTAAACATTTGAATTTGAAGGACATTGATCAAAATTATGACGATATAGGGGCTCATTTGAAAATTAATATCTTAACCACACATCATGAACTTATACACGGATTTCTGAAAAGTGGAAATTTGTTACACGCCTTAGTGTCTCATTTTAATGAGTTAAGAGGAAGAAACAAAACACTGTATGGATGTCTCATGTATATTGTTGCTAAAGGAAAGTATAGAGTAGGAGAATCTATTGATCACAAGGTAAAAAAAGCGTTTCACCTAGATATAACCGAACATTGTTTCAAAAAATGTAAAAATTTAAATTTGTATACTAAATGTCTGCAAAAAAGTAATCTTGTGAACGTTCAAGATGAACCAACAGATCCAAACTGGCATTATTATGTTTTTCATCACGTGTTCCTCTATTTATGTGCGTTTCATTCCTTGTTTGGTTTGCATCCCAAACAGGTGATGGAATATTGTAACATTGACGCAGTTTTACAAATAGTGCGACCATGCGATTTTGGCGATTGTGAAGACAAGACTAAATTCTGTGTAAAAGCAGATAATGAAGCCATCAATTATTTCTATAAACACATTGTAAAGAGTGACAAACGACTTGAGGAATCATTGAAAGATCATCCGCTAGTTCGATACGCAGTTGGTACAAGCGTTTAAGAACTTTGTTTTCAACAACCACTTGAAGAAAGATTGTACTATTTCAATTTTATGTTTTACTTAGCGGCATGGAACAGTTTATTATGCTGTCTACGACGAGTATATACGTATGCATTACTAAAGGAATTTACTGAGAAGATACTGAAACATAATGGACTGAAATGTGTTATGACAGTATAAGAACACTTGTACTATCCAAGCTAGCATCTTCTACCTTTGTGTGGAAAAATATTGATAGATACATGTATATAGACTTTTGCATTCCTGTAGTAAATTCAAATCATAAATATAGTGGAATATTTCAAAACGTTTAACACGACTTGTATATGATAATTTGAAACTGTAATTATACATTAACTGAAAATTGTTTACAAATATCTACATTAAAGACCATATTGATCATCAGGTCAAGAATGCGTTTAATCTGGAGATAACTGAACATTGTTTCATAATATGTAAAAAATTAAATACTTATACAAAATGTCTGTCAATAAGTGATCTTGTGAACACTGAAAATGAACCTGAGGATCCAATCAGACATTACTACGTTTTCAAACATGTCTTCCTTATATATGTGCGTTTCATTCTTTGTTCAGTTTACATCCCAAACAGGTGATGAAATATTGTAACATTGACGCAGTTTTACAAATAGTGCGACCAAACATTTTGGAAGACAAAACTAAATTCTGCGTAAAAGCAGATAACGAAGCCAACAATTACTTCTATAAGCACATTGTAAAGAATGACAAGCACCTTGAAGAATCATTGAAAGATCATCCGCTAGTTAAATACGCAGTTGGTACATATGTTTAACAGCTTTTGTTTCAACAATCAAAGGAAGCGAACTCTTAACTTATTTGAATATAAGTGCAGAATATTTGGAAATTTTATGAATGCCCAAAAGCATGGAACAATTTACAATGCCGTCTACAAAACGCTCGTACGCACGGCTTTTCTAGGCAATTACCTTTGCTGATTGGATATTGAAATATCATGGGCTTAAATGTCCTATGGACAGTAAAATAACACTTGGAATGTCCTTGCACCAACTGCCTCTGTGTGGATAGAGTTGCTGTACATATACCCTTGCATCCCTGTGCTAGATTTATTTCACATATGTAATGAAACATTTAAAGTATTTTGAAACAGCTTGTTTATGTTGTTTGTTAGCTTTCTAACGTCCCTTCGAGAATTTTTCACTCATTTTTAGACGCCGATGGAGGGCTGCAAATTTAGACCTGTACTCAGCACTTTTGGCCTTTGAACAGTGAGGATCTTTTTCGTGCCAGCACCTACTGCGACACGCGTACGGTACCTCGGTTTATAGGTCTCATCCGAAGGACCAGTCTCCACGTCACACAGTGGATTCAAACCTGCGACGTAAAGATTAACCCCGCGTATCAGCGAGCGAACGTTTATATGCGCCATGCGGGCGACAACTTATAAACGTTTAATTAAGTTTTACATTTTTACAATGAACATTCTCCTTGAGAAAGAAAATAAAAACAAGAACTATGAAAACAAAATAGAATATAAAGCGAATGAACAACAAGTTTGGCTTTCCAGAAAGCCTGAAATGTCATCTCTTTGGCTTCATTAATGTCACAGAATTAACAGTGGAATGTTGCATTATTTTCTCAGCTATTACAGGCAGAAGTATCGCTTTTGTAAAAATGGGGGGGGGGGGAGGACAGAAAAAAAAATCGACGATTTATCTGAACAATCTTTGACAAGGGGAAAAAAGGTGCTATCCAAACTCAACATTTTCATTTCTTGGAAGGAGGGATTACAACTTTTTCGACAAACATATTTTATATTATAATACATCCCCATGGGATGATTTGACGTACGGCATACTGCAACAAAAGGTGGAAGAGGGGACAAAGGTGCGCCTTTTCAATGTTTGGGGAAAAAAGTGGAAGGGGGGGGGGGGCTCCTGATGCTACGTGCCTGTATTATTTTACCTGTTGTAAATATACATTATTCATTTTAAATATTTTAAATATATTTTGTAGAATGTCTGTAAAAATAATTCTAACCACTGAGAAATATTCGTAAGAATTATTTAAAGTCATATGTGGCGTATTTTTTAAATAAGTTCAGACTACCTAAATTAAAAAAGATCTTTCTATTTGTTTTATTACTTTATATAGAAATAGGACTTTCCTGTAAATTACACAATTTAATTAAATCAATCACGTTTCAAAGATATTAGAAAACAATAACCGATTTATTTTCCGATTCCGCATTTAATTAACAGACACAGTTTATTTTTTTTTAATCAATCTAATTATGGAAACATGAGGTTATTCAAGTTCAAAATCGGTGAAAAAATTAATTTCAACGTTAATAACATATATCGTGTTTAGCTACACTCAATCTCGTATTTTTATTTTTTAGCTCAGATACGCCATATATAGCTTTAACAATTATTCCGAAAGAAAATGGATAAAAACTTAGCGTTCCTTTTGACTTTAGTTCCTAGCCGCCTACTACGGCAGCAAAGAAGTTTTAAAGCGTCAAATTAAATTAATCTGAACCTCAATTAATTCCAAAGACTTTCCTTGTTTTCCTTAATCGTATCCTCTGAAGCCATCGAGCCACTGGGTATACCAAGGGAAAATTGAGACACTCCTGCATCATGCCCTTCTCTTGCCCATTCAGATTCATGTCCTAATGCTATATTATGTATAATTTAAGTACATGTATACGCTCCTGGGAAAAAAGTAATGCATAGAAAGGTAATAAAATTGAAACGTTACCATTTAAAATTAAGTTTTTGCACACTGAAAAGAACCCCAATCTACCAACATCGATTTTATAGGCTGTTCTATGAGACACACATTTTATAATTTTGGCTTTATTTCAAGAATACGAGGAGTGATTTTTTTTTCTTTTTCTCATTGACAAAAAAAAAACGCAAATTAGAAATGCATAAAGAAACTGATAACAGTTGTTTTGTTTATTAATTCTTAAAATCTGAGCCAATTAAGAAAATTGTATCTTTTCCTAAAACTTTTCTACAGGGGTAAATTTAAATAAAAAAGAATAGTCCACCCATCCGAGAAAATACTCATAATTATTCTTTATGATCTTTATTCCAATTCATGCAGCACTGAGTTACTTAAATCAGAGACATTTATGTTTCTGCCTAAATTGTGCTTTTAGGTAATTATAAAATTTCTTTTCTTCGATTTTTTAAAATAAATTCTGTTATATTTTTCTTATATTCGTCAGTAGTTATCGATTGACTAAAGTACAAATAAAAGTAAAGTTATTGCCATTGTATATATGCATTTAATGTGAGTTGTTACTTAAATGTTTTCACCGTTTTCTTTCGTCAGTAAATCTTTGGATCCACGCCTTGGCATATACATTTTGTGTATAAAATTTGATTCCCGCGCGCTGACCATCGTTTTACTCAATAGCCTAGATACAATGTTTATGTGTATTTTGAAGACTCACCACCACCCAAGTGATTCTACCTCTATTACCAGGGTTCTCCATGGGCCGTATAACGTGGCGCAGTTAAATTCCTTAGCGCCACAGTTAAAAAAATCAGCGCCATAGTTCCGCCACGCTTAAAATATAAGCGCCGCAGTATAAATTTAAAAACCAAATGAACCTCCAAATTATGTACCGTTTGTCAGTTTCTAATGCTAAACCGTTAATTTACTCTAATTAGGGCCAATTGTTGCACAAGCAATTACCTTCTAGACCTCGCTGGATACTTGAATGAAAAGAGACAAGCCATTTTTTTCCTACACATTTCACGTTAATTGCAAAATAATGAATTTTTTTTTTTAATATTAATAAATTCATGTTTAATAGTTCTACAGATAACCACGTCTCTTAAATTGCATTTGTACTGCGTGTCAAACATCGCACATATATCATGAATATTTGCAATGTTGAAAAATTAACGGTAGATCCACCAAAATATTATTTTTATATATGACTCTAAACTGTTTAAGTATTTGTTTAATTCACAAATTTTAAGATTTTTCAGTCGTCAGACCGAAAATTGCAAACACATATAGATGTTAGCGTAATTGTGTGACTTTCCTCCGTCCTCTAATAAACACTATATAATTTACCTTTTGTAATTTTTTTTTAAAAGAGGGTTCAATGCTTAAAACTTGTTGTTACTGGTACTTTTATTTTCAGATTTTATAAGCTAATTTTTGTTTATTTATAAGTACGTATGTGTTTGGGAAGGGGGGGGGGGGTCTTTTTCACAATATATGCATATATTTTCAAAACATTTTATTTTTGTTTTACACTATGTTTAATCGATATAGGTTAATTACTTTCATTATTAAATTTAATAATGAATTTGCCAAATAATAAATATCATTTGTATATTAAACTATTGATTCATTGGAGTTGTGTGTTTTTCAATATATTTCGTGGTTCCTTCGCGAATTCGGTCGCGAAATGAACGCAAATATTAACACTTCGCGTAAGTCTTGCGCCACAGTTAAATTTGAAAAGATGGAGAACCCTGATTACTCTTAATGAACCCTGTGTAGTTTTACTTTAAGATGGACATTTTTGTTAAATAAGACAGACTTTGGTCAATTTTACTTACATCTCTATATTTAGAAATCGTGTCATCATCAGGTCCTTTGCCAGACCACCAGCTTAAATTATCAATGGCAGCTTACACTAGGACTTCACTTCCGGATTCAAACTTAATATGTCATCTCCCGAGGGAGATTACAAACAGAACAAAAATATAAAGAAACAAACAACAACAGATTCACACATACCTAAAAGACTGGAAAACGGAAATTTTACGACATATTTTGTCTTTTTGATATAATATTACTGTAAACTTCAGGATGAAATTGTTGATGGTTCAACGCTTCTGCACTTTAAAAAAACACAATAACACGAAGCTGTTCAGAACTAGTAGCTGACTTTAAATAAATCTAAATATCTAACCAGTGTTTGAGATACTATTAAATAGTATTTTAAAGGAAAATACCTATTATATATTAAGTTTGCTTTTCCAGAGTAAGAAAGAACAATGCCAACATTGACTTCCATTTATTTGAAAAAAGTGGACAGATTTGATTATATTCTTCAATATATTTTTCATTGTGCTTCTGATAAAGGGATTAATGGTTAATCCATTTAGCATATCGTCCAAAATTGCTATTTAAGCTTATTAATACGAACAACAATAATTTACTTATTCAATTTTTTTTTTAAAAATGTTGCTTAACCGAAAAGAAAATGATATACTCATTTAAAACCAGGGCTTAAAAACAAATTTGCTTAAACAAAAGTTCCCTTTAATACGACAGGATATCATGTTCTTCTTCAAGCGTACAAAAGATCTCAGCAATAATCCGTCAATAGCACATACAAGGCTTCAATGGAATTCCTCACACTTACATAAGTAAATGCTATATATTATTGTCTGGTTTACTTTAAGAACTCTCCAATTCTTTTCACCAGATTTTTCTGGTGCTAATGCTTATGCTGTTGGTTAGGTATTCGTCATTTTTCTGTCAATGAAGAGATGAACTTTTTAAATGAATGATTAATGGGAATTTTGTATTAAAACTAAGGAGCAAACAAAAACTTATTCATGTAACAACTTATAGATAAACGATTTATCCATAACGCAATGCAGAAGATAATGGTCCTTTATTTAGCTAAGCCTATATTACCTTCCCTTATTTTATGTGCCTCCTGCTGTGGTAAAATAAAGCTAAGAAGAATAAAAAAAATGAAATTAATATAGATTTTCCATTACAATTTATAGCATGCTTTAATGAAGATATTATAAAACAAAAATACACAAAAAATAATTTGTGAATGAATAAAATGAACTAATTAAATAGAAATCGACAGGTCATTAATTTTTAGAAATCAACTACATTCCTGAATTTCATCTATCTTTCTACTATAAGCCACTATCTATCTATCTATCGATCGATCGATCGATCGATCCATCCATCCATCCATCTATCCATCCATCCATCCGTTCTTCCGTCCATCTATTCATCCATACACCCATTTTTAGAAAAAAAGTTAAACAGATAGAATGATTTTTGGATCAATTTTCAAGAAAAAAAATTAAATATGAAATTCAAAAGATCAGTCCATATGATGCTCTAGTAATCAGTATTGCTCCCAGTGTGCATCTGATTTGAATTCATTTTTGACAAACATTGAACAAAATTGTTGTACAATATCTTCTAATCTAAAAACTGTAAATTGTATTGAAAATCTACCATTAGCATCATAATATTGTCTGTTAGTATGCACTTTCATACCTAGTGTTCTTTAGAAGAGTTGATCGTCCCTTTACTATTTTATTAAAACATATTTTAAGATAGCTTTTATTGTGAGAGAAAACGCATTTGGCTCCATAGATCTGGAAAATTTCTATTTTAGGGACGATATTTAAAAAAAAATAAATACGTGTATTAATATGTAATCTGAATTCTTATATGACTAATATAAATATTTTCGGCCGTGGAGCAATAGTGATATTAACTGGTGAAGCTAAATGGTATGTTTTTAATTTTGAATTGCATCTTTTATTTTAACATTATATTAAAGAGAGCTTAGATTATCTTTGTAAAAAGGCAAGAAATGCAAGTTTTTGTCACATGGCATTTACTTTATACCCCATTGGTTAGATTTAGGATTTCCATACCGGAACAAAAATCATAAAACAAATGAGATAAACGAAAACGTACTTCAGTTGTTCGTAAGAGAAACAATGATACATTTTTGCGTTTTTGGCTTTCTTCTTGTATTTGCCAAAGCTTTGCCTCTTAGTGATTTCTATCCATTCGGATTTACTGCGGGGGATTCACGATTACTGCCTGATGATGATTCCTCCCAGAGTGTCCCCATTCCAGCTGGTTTTCCCTGTTTTGGACATATGTACTTTTATCTTTATGTAAGTTATTTTTGATATGATATACTGCAAGGAATATTATTTGATTTAACTTATTCTAATTCAAAACAACTACATATTGGGTTTCTCGTTCTCTTAAATTTTCTAATCAGTGAATTAAATGATGTATGAAAGTTGTTTTGAGGTAAATATATAGATTATATAAGAGAAATTATATTCTCTACATAACTAAGGAATGATAAAAATTTCAAAATCTCTAAAAATCTCATTCTTAAATTGAATAAATTGCTGGAGACTTTGCGGTAGCTTCCTTATAATCAATGAGGGGAAAACTTAAAGTAAGACTAGAATTGAAAAGTATGGTAAGATTTTATCCAAACAATTGATTTAATTTCACAAATTTATATTTCATTTTCACTGCACTAAAAGTTTAAGTTTGATTTGTTATCTACTAGCTTACTTTGCTTAAAATATTAGCATGAGCAAATTTCAAAGCCCCCCCCCCCTCCACCTTTAAACAAGCAAACAAACAAAAGCAAAAACAAAAACAAAAACAAAAAAAAAACTTTGTTTATTTGCCAAGCGATAGGAGTCAATGAATAACAATTAATTTGGTTTGATTCATATTTCTTTTGATGTGTTATTGTTCCAGGGTAAAATTTCAGAAATTATCGATTTTTACGTTTTAATTCCTCACCAATGTATGATGATAGTTAACAGTTACAATGCTCATAAGTCCAAGGAAACATTAAAACTGATAAAATAATGAACATGGAGCCCTGAAAACAGAGGTGGGCTCATGTGACATGGTATAGTAAGCTTCCCCTATTGACAGCTCATACCCGTCGTGAGTCCCTCGTCATGATCGAGCAAATGGAGTAATCGTTAGACAAATCAGTATGAAAATAAAGGCTTTGCAGTTTTTATAAACATGCCACTCAACATTCGACCTTACGAGAGGCTGTATTTACAAACAAGGTTATTGGTCAATCATAGAATCTGCAAAATGTTGATTTTAACTGAGATTGTTGATATCTTTGTTACTTCAATCTATTTGTCAATAGTTTGCTACGGTTTAGAATTTTTTCGTTCGTAGAACATGCTCTTGCGTGAGGAATGAACTGGAAGATAATAAAACCTTAAGCGGGTAATAATGATGTATTCCTACATAGTAAGAAAAGTCAAGTTTATAATATATTTTCAAATGTCGAATTGGAGGTCATAGAGAGTTTTTGTTACAATGAATTCTTCTTCATAAGAATACTATTAACAGGTCTGATAACAAACGAGCACAATTATTACACATGAAAATTTAAACAGATTGTTTGATGAAGTGGTCTTTCAAGACACTACAGATAAGTAAATGAGGAGCTCAAACAATCTCAAAGTACTTGTATCTGCAAAATCAGAATAATTTGAAGCAAAGTAAGTCTGTAGATAATCAATCAAAAATTTGGAAAAAAGAGTTTTTTCTTTATTGAAGAAGTAGTCTTTAAAACACTACTGGCCTATAAAATGCCCGGTCTTTAATTTATTGTGGGGAATGGTTGTATAGAAATTTGATGCATTGAATTAAGCAAAATTTTGCGATTTAAAATTTTCTTACAGCTCTGAGCAATTTTTTTCTTCAAACTTCCCGTCTCCTCTCCAATGCATTGTTTCTCCTGAAGTTTCTCCTGTGGATTACCTCTTGTAGAATTAAATCCAAGTTCTTTTGAAATACAATCGTAATAATAAGCCTTACAAACAGACTCTCTTATGTTCTTTGTCAGCTCGAACCATTACAAACTGATCATATTATGTATTTCTTCAGTCACTTTTGAATCACTAACATTGAAGGATAGATTGCATTCTTGTCTACTTTGTATAAAAATTAAAAAAAAGTTTGATCAAGTCGTAAATGTTATACGAAGGTGATATTCCCTGAGCAAATCTACAAGATGAAAAGTGGTTGTTCAAAGTAACACTGCCTTTAAATGGAAATAGCAACCAAATAGGGTAACTAAACATTCGTGATTAAAACTTTCGATCTTCGTCTCATGAAAAAGATTTTGCTTTGAGAAACAAGTTTCAAGGACAATGCTTACTCTGCATTACTACTCTTAATCCAAGTCCTTAATTGTTCTATTCAAGGAGAAAAGGTTGAACCACATTGATAAAGTAATAAAAGATTTGCACTTTCATGCGTATTGAATTGACATTGTAGGTGAATAACAATGGAGATTTGTCTTTTGAATCCCCGCTGAACGAATATTCTCCGACACCTTTTCCAATAAATGGGTCTCATCGTATTATTGCTCCATTCTGGGCAGACGTTGATACAAGGTACAACAATGGAAGTGTATGGTTTCGACAAACAGTAATATCAGATTTGCTTCAAAAGGGGTCAATATTGATACGACGCCATTTTCCGAATCTAACAAACTTTTCTGCTTCCTGGATTTTTGTTGCAACATGGGAAAATGTTACCTTTTTCGGCGCAGATGCTTTGGGTCAAAAAAAGGTAACAGGATGAGTATTATACTATTATCCTGCAACCAACGCTTGCATTGACGGAATAAGAGTAACTAAATAAGCAAAAGCTATATTCGGTCATAACGAAATACAGCCTCGTGCATTCCGACGCCCTTAAAAGCAGTATGACATCATGTATATTGCCATGGCGTCACAGGTTTAATGCAGAAATGTTTATTTAATGACAATAGTTCGTTTCGAAGATAATGTAAAACTTCGTTGCAGGATGATCAAAATACATAACTATCTCGAATTTTTGCTTCTATACAGATTAAGTATATAAGAACAACAGAAGAAGACAAACTCTTTAGGAGAGATTTCGAATTTCATTAAACTATTACTTATCTCTTTTAGTAGATAATGTAGAATTTGGTGATTTTTGATATTGTTTTCTAAGATATGCCTTAGATGGAGTTCAATAAATATTAAATTCATGACATTTATTTGGGATTTCCATATATTTGAGAATTAGAATAATTATATACAATTATACCATTTGAATGTATAATTTTATTGTTTGCACCAATACTTATTTTGATTTTTTCGATTCATATAGAGGCATTTAATATAGAATTTAGGTTAGATTCGTAAAACTTACATCTTTATATGTACTTTGTGGTTCACTTTATCTGAAATGCCGTTTAGTAAAAATATTCACATTGTCAATAGATGAATACCTTCCAGTCTTTATTAATCACCGATGGCATTTATTCCTTTGCTGTTCTGAACTACTACAAGATTGTGTGGACAACAGGAACATCCAATGGGGGAAATGTATCCACAGGACTTGGAGGCATAACAGCACAAGTAAAAGCCTTTTATAGCACTTTCATGTATTGACTGATAGGTCATTTTCAAGGAATAAATGTTCATACGTTGTAGTACTTTGTTTGGAGTATAGATCAAACGTAAACCTGAAGATGAATATTGATAAATAAATTATTTCTGTTTATGCTTTTTTAAAATACACATTATAACATATAAATGTCTACTTGCCTTTCTTAAAAAGAGAAGGGTTATTTTATATTAAAAAATAAAATCGTGTGGTTGAAATATTGATAATTTTTCCTCTAATTTTCCCAGAAGTATTAACTCATTTCATATAGTTCATTTTTTGGTAATTTTTTCTTGATTATATTGCTTGGATCAATGTGAATGTGACAATCTGTCAGCGTCGTCATTAGTTATATTGGCAGCAGTCGTTGAAGTTATACGAGGGTCATTCAAAAATACATAGACAATGTCCCTCATCATCATATTATTTTTCCAAGAATTTAGATCAACACATTCTGTTGATGTGTGAAGTTTCATTCCATTTGATTAAATGAAATTCATGTGAGTCAATTTTTAAAGCAACATGTTGTGTCATCACGGAACACCTGAACAACATTGTAATGCCAAAACGACGTTGAGAAATTTTCTAAGAATTAGTCTTTTCATTTCAAATACGGTTTGTAGCGTCTTACCCATTCATAAACACGTATCAATAACACTTGATACCTAGTTTGCTAACAATTGTTCCAGTAGCATAACTAAGATTGTAAGTGTTTTTAAATTATTTATACCTCGTAAATCCGCATTTACACGTTCCGCAACAGTGACGCGCATATCAAGTTTCATGACTTTACTTACTCTTTTGATAAAACTTTTACTATAATCTTTCTTCGCAGACCGTATATCGTCCAAATCAAAGTCTGTACCATTCAAAAACTGTTTTTCTATGTATATACAAATGCACAGCTCATTTTAAAAAATATATTTCCGGAATCCTCCGGCATTTTCAGATTGCTTCAGAGATTTCAAGAATGCAAAGCAAATTTTTATTGCCACTCGTTGCTCCATGTCGTCCTTCGATATAATCGTTTTTTGCATTTTTACATCATGTCTTCTGTCTTTAGAAATTGATACCGTTTAAACAAAGCGTGTATTACATTACATTTTAGCATCTGAAGTAATAGATCAATACTAAATTTAAACATTTTAATTTTATTTTGTTTCAGCTCATTTATTATAGGCATTATTATAGACAGTATGAAGTGTATAATTAGTAAATAACTCAATTTTGACCCTGCTCAGTGACCCAATTTTTGCTGTCTAAAATCTTTAATAATTTTGATAAATATCAAAATATATTCCATTTATATGACTCAAATTATTTGAATCTATTGTTAAAATATGTGTACAAAATTTGGTTATATGAGGTTAAACAGAATAGTGACGACAAAAGTCTACGAATGTTTTGAATAGCCCTCGTATAGTAAACCAGTAGTAAAAACCAAAAGGAATTTATAAAGTTTACCCTTAGTCTTTGAAAGATTAATTGTCATTATCATTAATTGACCTTGCCTATTTTGTAGATTTGAAAATAAACAAAGTAACTAAATTATTGAAATAAAAACTAAAATATTTAAATAAAAAATAGTTATATTCTTTCAAATCCACCTGATGTTATAATAAGACTATTCTCAAAGGAGTCGAAGACTCTCCCATATGAGCGCTTCCACCTCATTTTTAAAATCAAATGAATTCTGGCTTCTTTATAGAAATAAAAGAAAAATTAATAGAACATTAAAATATCATGTCTCTTAAAAAACTTTAGTCAGATTGAATACACACAAGTTTAAAGAAATTAGTATGAACGATATTCAACATCATTTTAATTCAAATTTAAAATGTAAATTTCTGCTATTGTTGTCAAGCGTGCATAAAATGTTTCGGTTTTCCCATATATTATTAAAATATGATGAAAAAAGATTCCAAATAATATCACTGAGGGAAAATAACAATATAATGGATCCCTTTACTAGAATTAATTGTTAAAAATGTTTGATGTCAACATTCGCATTGAAATTTTGAAATCTGAAAACCTTGCTATATATTTGACAATTTTTACAAATCCAGGTTGGATTTAACAATGGGGATGGAATTCATTTCTACTCCGTAGAAGGATCAAGGACAAATGACGTTTTAAACCTTACCCACATTTCAAACATCAACATTCCGGGTCAGTTTGTGTTCCGAGTGGACGATACTATTACTATCACCGGAGGTAATGTAATGACAAATCAATGTAACAGTGAAACATCCTGTATATTTTGTTTAAGATGACCTTCAATTAAATAAGTTTTGAATTAAATTTTACGTAGAAAAAAGTCAAACAAAACTCGTTAGTATGTAACAAGAAGCTCTCTCTGGAAATAAAAGAATATATTTCGTTTTCTCTCACATCTATGAAGATTGCATTTGAATTCTTTCATTTTAATCATAGAAACTGATAGCTGTACTAGCAATCCCTGTGTTAATGGTGTCTGCACTAATCATACCAACAGTTACACTTGTGTCTGTCTAGTTGGTTATACAGGACAGCAATGCGAAATAGGTAAAATTTAAATGGATTATTATTTTAGAATACGTGTCATTAATCTGCATTATGTATAAAATATGGAGATAGCATCTCTAAGGGCAATTTTGCGATCTCTTAAACCAAAGATATTTGTGGAATAAAGCATGGATAGGTACATGGTTATGGGTGTTAACATTTACATAATCAGGTATAAGTATATAAAAACAGGTTTTCTGCTTCACAACCGCATGGTCATCCAGTACGTTTTACATATATTGCAAAACGCTGTTCCCTGGTGATGTTCAAGGTAGATATTTAAACAATTATTCCACATGTCTTTTTTTTCTTTTCAAAACATATTCATTAAAAAGACGGATTCTCACTCCTGAGTGCTAATTCTTTTTTTGAATAAGTGATCAGCTTAACTTACATCACATTGTATAAAATATTACATTCAAAATATTGTAAATAAAGCAATGCTCTTATCATTTTTTAATTTAAAAAAAAATATTAGGAAAATGATGTTTCATGAGAAATAAGGCAGACAATTTATTTCGTAATATAACTCTCATTTTCTAGGAAAAATTGAATATTTCATATTAAATATATATACTGTGATTTTCATTCATTATACTTCTTTAACTTTTTGAGAGAAAACGCGTTGACCCTCTGACCGCTGGAACCTCTGTAGTAAAGTCGTATCATTCTCATCCTAGATATCAATGATTGTGCTAGCAATCCCTGTATTAATGGTATATGCAATGATCACACAAACGGGTTTACTTGTGTCTGCCCAGCAGGTTACACGGGACACCAATGTGAAACAGGTAAACTTAATAAAAAGTTATTATAAATACATAACCTATGAATAAGGGAAATACAAAATACATATAAACCTTTGCATTAAATACATGTTATTTACTCTGGATACTTATAAAAAATGTAAGAGCATGGTAAATTCGTATTGATCAGCATTAAGCATTCTTGTTTGAAAACGGAAAGTGAAGTTATTTTCTCTTAATTTTCTCTTAATTCTCTGGTGCTCTGGAAAAAAAGACTGGTGATTTATAATATCTAATGATAGCAAGTTGCATGGCAATGAAAACTTACAATATTGAACTTAGACTCGATTTCTAAATATTCTTCCACAAAAGACTGGGTCAGATTGACAGTTTATATCAGACGTAATACAGAGAACATAAAAGATCCAAAAGTTTTCAGAGATGATTGTATTGTCTACAGAGAGAAATAAAAATAGTCAGAAGTGCTATTTTTCTAGAATAAGTATCTAAGTATCTAACATATGCCAAATTCCTGATCATGATTATATTACATTAACAATATTATGAATAAGCCAATTGTCTTATCATTATTATAATAAAATAAAATGTATACATTATTCTGATTATGGATACAAACTTTCAATAGAAAAATCAGAGAATAAGTCGTAAAGCTTAACTTAAATGAAATTCTCAGTATGACTCTCATTTCAAAAAAATATATTTTTCTTCTTATTAAAGGATACATAACACAAACAAAAATCTGATGCCTGGATTGAAATATATTTTGAATAGAATTGGCATAAATAATAAATAATAAATCCCTAAAATATATAGAGATCGTAAGTTTTCTTTGGTGCTAAAATATGCGAATTTGTTTTGGTTTCGATATAAACTATACAAAATTTTGCACATAATTTTAACATTGTGAAAAAATCTTACAAAATTCTCCCACTTTACACGGCAAACATTATTCAGGGTACCTATTTGAATATAAATCTATGAGAAATATTGCCGATTTCTGAAAAAAAAAGTTTGTTTATGTTATTTATCCTTATGCATGATTTTAAATACTTCTACTTCAGAACTTTTTAATGAGGAATATCTTTGTCGTTCAGACGTCTGTGGCTTCTGCATTTAAATATTATCATTCTTATCCTAGATATCGATGATTGTGCTAACAATCCCTGTGTTAATGGCGTCTGCACTGATCGTACAAACGGGTATACTTGTGTCTGTTCAGCGGGGTATACAGGACAACATTGTGAAACAGGTAAATAAAGTTATTTTAAAATGTATATAAATCTTTGAATTAAGTGTCCTCTGCACCCCATGATATGTGATGTATTAAAAATAAAACTTTTACTTTCGGTTTCGTATTGTGCTTGCACTGCCAATTTGCCTTATACAGCCTTTGAATTTATACAGACTCTTGCAAAAGCTAATGATGAAGATTTTTTTTTTACCACAAATGTACTATGTGATACTATATGGTTAAGAGCGACACTTTATCTTATAGAATCTATAGAGGGTGTGACCTAGAAAAAGCAGAGCAGACCTTTGAGTTTTTGAGGCAAAATAATGTTCTTTTGAAAGAAAGCTTCTATTTATTTATTTACCATACTTATCGATCCAAGAATGATTAAATAAAAAAGTTATGAAGGTATTTATTTTGCATACTGAATTATGCGTTTCTTTGGAACTATTCTCAACATGTATTCAAAATATTGATGAAAACTGTGCATTTTAAGATTTTCTCATTGACTTCCGTCCAGTTTAATGATTTTTTTTTTTATAAAGAGTATTATGACGAATTTGGTACCCCACCAGTGTTTTGAGTCCAATGTTAAAGAAACTTAGCCCTCCAAAGGAAACAGATATTGTCGAATTTGAAAATTATTGTAACTTTATATTAATATGATTTCATATTTTAATTTATTTCATTAATGTTTTTTCAATACTTTTAGAAGTCTTCCTAAATTTTCAACTTCAGGTTTTAGATAAAATTTCTTCTTTTAATTTTCATAACTTTTATAAATTCCTAGATACAATGAATTAAAGGGGGCGTCAGGGGTTATCATTGCGCAATACATCGCGCAGCATCGTAAAATAAAGCGTATTTAACTCTTTTAAAGCAACAATTTTTACATAATTATAAAAATTAACAAAATTAAGAAATCTAAGATTAAAAATCTATTTACGTTTTTAAATAATTGATTCTTTTTTTAACAATTTTTCAAATGATGGGTAGATAGACGTCGTCATAGTCTGTTTTTGGCGTTATGAATAACCGAAATTCTTTAAGAGGGGTCATTAATTATGTCATAAAATAAAAATTATAAAATAGATGCTCTTGAAATTTTAAACATAGGAAATTGAGAATCTCGTAATCATTTTTTATAATTTTTTGAAATAAATTTGTGATATATGTCATGTTTTGTAGTACTCCATAAAAACAGGAAAATATCACGAATTTTTACATTTTGAGATTCCCCCTTTAACCAGACTGCAGAATTTTGTGTTTTTTGCCTAAAATGTACAATATAGTATTACTCATCAAATAATATAATTTGAGCAAAAAGTCTATAGTAGTATTTTTATAATTTGCTCTATAGTGCGAAAAAATAGTATTTTCCTATATAATCCTATAGTATATTTACCTGTATTTTGAGATGGTCCCTAAAAATAAGTAGATTTTCACTAAACTTGGCATGTATACTGAAGTCAATGTAAGGTACATATGTTATAAAATTAAAAAGTTTCTCTATAGTAGTTTTCACACAATAAAACCCTAGTCGGCTCCATAAATTAAGTTGTTGTTGCTGTCGCATTGTAAACTTACTAATATATAATAAAAATGAAATATGGTGTGCTTTTTATCAGAACTTGGTGGAAAGAACTCTTAATATACATATAAATAAAAGATTTAAAACTAGTGTAAATAATAATTTAATACAAGTATTCCGAAATTAATATCAAAAGATACTTGAGTTTTTTTTTTATATTGACAGTATATAATTATGTAGTTTTCGGAGATGACGTCTTCTAACAATCCGTCCGAATATCCATTTGTATAAATCGCGACCCATTGTTAGCAGGCTTTTTTAAATTCATATGAAGCAATTGAATTCATATATATTCAAAAACTTCTACACAGAAAAAAGCAGTCTCTTGTTGTAAACTTTAATTCAAAATTAAATAAATCGAAGACATTTTATCATTTAACAATATTCATTTTCATTCCTACGAATGCTAATCCATGACTCCTGATCTTACCTCTAATGTTTTTAGAGGTCCTAGATGGAAAACCTTCTTGTTGCCATGACAAAGTTTCTAGTTTCTAGTACCTCTTTGTAATGAGGAAATGCTTTTAACTCCGATCACTCTTTTCTTAGATATCGATGATTGTGCGAACAATCCCTGTATTCATGGTGCCTGCACTGATCTTACAAACGGGTATATTTGTGTCTGTCTAGCCGGGTATACAGGACGACAATGTCAAACAGGTAATATGAAATAAATCTTTATTTTCAAATACAATACAATTTTGAATTAAATATATGTAATATTTCCCCTGAATACATTTGAAAAGAGTAAGAGCATAGTAAATTCATACGGATCATTATAGAATTAAGTATGCCATACATCAATTTAACTGAATATTTCTGCCTACTGTCAAAAGGTTGCTTGCTATGATTGACTGCTTACAGTGAAAGTGTCTGTTACTTTTTGCATATTTTGATACAGAAAAATCTCCCAGATAGGATAATTCTCCTCTCAGCAAAACTTTTGGTGATTCTTTTAAAAAATTGCATAAAAGAAGAATTGAAGCTCAGATGGAAGGGAGATACAGAATATTAGTCTAAATATAGTTCTGTGGTCTCGGAAGGCTCTAGCTACAAATGTACATGACGAATAAAAGAATTGGAAGTATGCATTCATGGGAGTAACAATATATTCACTCAGATATAAATACAATTCAGTTACGTTTTCTACGTCACAAAGGCATGGTCGTCAGTACAGGTTTGCAAAACTATGCTCCCTACTATTTTTAAAGATCAACAGATATAAAATGTCCAATATTACCACCATATGTGTTTTTAAAAATGTATATTTCTCGTTATATATTATATTATTTACATTGCTGCTATTTCAACAATTTTGAAAGATTAACTTTATTGTCTTTCCGACCCCCGGAGCCTCTGTATTAAACTTTTAACATTAATCCTAGATATCAATGAGTGTGTAATCAATCCTTGTGTTAACGGTGTCTGCACTGATAATACTTGTGTCTGCCCAGCGGGTTATACAGGACAAAATTGCGAAACTGGTAAAATTAAGTAAATCGGAATTTTAAAATATAACAGACATCCGAATTAAGCATTTTTACTGTTTCCTCGAAGAAGTGGGAAACAAAATAAGGGCATGGTTCCTATATAGTTATTTTACTTTTACATTATTTTTTAGCTGCATATGGTGTTTATATTTCCATCTTACGGAATACCCAAGGGCATGCTCTGATTATGATCAATTTTTAAACTAAGGCAGGATATTGAGAGATAAGTTGATGTTACAGGGATTTCAACAACCTCGTTTAAAGTTAGAATTTCGGAAAATCTATGTTTGTTATGATGACCTTGGTAGAAAATGTAACTATCATTTGGTCGTATTTTAATAGACATTATTTCATATCGATCGTTAGAGTTTTTTTTTAATTTCTTTTACTATTCTGTGTACCTGATGAATACCTAGTGCTCACGACGGGTGTAACTGGAAGACAGGAATACTTACATTTCCTAGACACCTGGTCCCAGGATCATGAAACAGACTTAGACTTAAGTCAAAATTTCAATCATCTATAAAATGTTTAAAACTTGTTAAATGAAACTCTTTATTTGCATATGACAGCAGATTGATGATTGATTTTCAACTGCCTAACTTCTAAATAATTTCAGGACCAAATATTTTTTTTTTTGTCTTAAACATAAGATGCTTCACGTTTCCTGATCTCACTATGAGACTTTACTAGGTTCCGTGTTTTATGCCCTTTTTTACATATTTGTATCGTTTTTAGTTTTTTGTGCTCGATCACTGTTCGTTATCTCCACGTTTGTCAGAATACTTCTACATACTATCAAACGATGATTTCTTTTCTGTTAAAGTTTTTTGTTTGTTTATTTTTTGACTACTGACAGTGATCTCGTCTGTTACCTTTAAATACTAAAATAGAGAAAAGCAATCTCAGCAGATAGGCGTATTTTTCCATTTAGCCAAATTAAAGAGATTCCAAACATTGCAAATAAAAAAAATATTAAACCCCCCGATGTCAGGGGAAAAATATAAAAAATGAAAATAAAGTCTAAAATACTTTATTACATTTACTATTAAGTTTTCAACATTTTTTTTCTATAAAAGGCATACCGGTATTGTCCTTTACGCCGTGGTTTTCAATTCTTTTAATTTCAGTACTTTTTAAATGGGAAAGCAGTTGTCATTTTGATATCGTTAACTGTGCATTTTCAGGTTATTTTATTTTCATCCTAGATATCGATGAATGTGCTAGCAATCCCTGTAATTATGGTGTCTGCACTGATCATACAAACGGGTATACCTGTGCCTGCCAAGCGGGTTATACAGGACAACAATGTGGAACAGGTAAAATGAAAGGGAATGATGTTTTAGAATACGTAAGTGCATTCCCTGGATACGTAGGAAAACACGAAACGAGATGGTTTAAAATATTGATCACCATCAATAAAAATTAAATAATGCTATGCATAAAGTTTGCAGATATTTATACCTGCTACCAAATGCTGATATCTTTCATTGGTTACTTACAGTACTTGCATTCTTTAGAAGTGAAAAAGCAGATGGGAGATAAACGTATTTCCTCTTTTTAAACAAATATTAAAGTGATTCTAAAAAATTGCCAAAAAATGATAAAATCTTAGATGTAATACAAATATTTGAAATTGGAAATGATATCTAAATGCAGTTTTAAATGCTCATAAACCACGGGTACATATTTCTAAAAACAATGCAAGAGAATGTGGGTATGTGTGTGTTCATATATATTTTTCAGGAAAGAGTTCAATTAAGGTCAAGATCTAGTAAATGAGTTTAGACTGTCTTTTTGGTGCTAGATCCATTATGACGTCATAATTGATTTAAACTTAGTTTTTCCCATACTTTACGGCTATTATAGAATTATGTAGAAAATGAAACATTTTCATGGAATTCAATTTGAAATCATGTCAAAATTAACCCCGATACCTATATACAAATTAATATCATTTTAAAGAAGACGTCAAGAAGATAAGAAAAACTGTTTTCTGAGAGACTGTAGGCAATATTGATGCATTTTCTTTTTCTGAGGAGGAAAAAACTCCCATATTTATACCTGACTTCCTTCATTTTTCATTGAAAATAACAGTTTAAAGTCTCTTTTATCGTCGAGTTTACCTAAAAAATTATGCCCCGATATACCTAATTTCGCCAAGCTATATTTGTAAAGGATCATTGAAAGAACTTGTTTCTCAAATCTGAGAAGTCTGAAGGCGCCTTTCATTTACTAGATCTTGACCTTAAAACAGGTTTTGTGCATAAAAAGGAGTGTTCATTCCGTAGGTTTCACATATTGGCAAAACTATATTCCTGATTATATTCAAAGTCTCCATATAATACATCTTAGTACTCGTTTGAAGTCGATACAATGACTTTGTCAGCAAATAGAACCTATTATTAAGTCAAATGCTGACTGACGTTTTTCATACTAATTGTTAGGCCATCATTTACACACTGAATTGTCGACGGATTTTTCCGTTTTTCCCGATCATGGAGCACACGGCGAGTGTGACCTGTCGGCAGTGGATGATCACTCTTCTATGGCACCTGATCCAACCTCTAATGTTTTGGAGGTCAGTGTTTGCTCCCGATCTGTAATTTTTAAATGGACTTTGAGCTTCAATACTGTTCGTTATCTCAATATTTCATTTTAATGAGGTTGGATCCAGATATTTAAAGTCTTAAGAATTTTTTAATCAAGAATATTTTTAGTATCTACACACAAAGCTTAATTTAAAATGAAAGCAAAAATGGGGGTCAATATGCTTTTTTTGGCGCTATGTTACATTTAATATGACCTTTATACACTTAAATTGTGTCTTAATCATAAATCACATCTTCGAAGTTTTCCCTCTATTTTTTTTTTTATCCAAATAAATCATGGGACAAAATACAAATGTATACTTTCCTTCTATTTTAAATTTTAAATTGCTTAGCATAATGAATTATTTGACCTTTTTTGCAATCACATAATGTCATGTTTTTGGCATCAAAAATCTAAAAAGCATGAAAATTATTTTAAGGTCTTAAACTTTTGCTAAATTTAAGGATATTGGTCAAATATATGTTAGATATTCAGACAAAAAAAATCAGGGATCTATGGTGTAATTTTTTTTTTATATTAATAAAAGAAGTGTTAATTTTATGTTTAAATTGGCTTATTTTTTTCCTGGACAGAATATATTTACTATATTTGTCACAATATGATGATAGAATTCATAAAAATCAATTTAATAGATACATGTATGTCCGAACCAGCATAAAACATTGCACTGCACAAAATAGCTCTGTGTGGAAATAGCATGGGAAAATAGGAAAATAAAATGAACAGTACCGGAAATACTTCAAAATGGAAAAATTTATCATTTTCTTCTTCTTCTAAAAAAAAAAAAAAAAAAAAAAAAAAAAAAAAACCCTGCCGCCACAAAATAAGGTTCCTGGATTTATCCTATTTGTGTGGATTTTTATTGCTTTTTTTAATTGAATATAGTTTAATTTGCATTATAAAATCCAAATTGAATGTAAGAACTTAAATATGATACAGAATTTTAGAAATAAAGGTCTAGACAAAAATCTGCTCAAAAGCTCAGGATCTTTAAGATGAGAACTTTGGCAGCGGTGAGTTTGAACTGTTGAACTGTTTATTCTGTCAGCTAAGTTTTTTCGTTATTTTTTAAGTTTTTACTTCATTACGTTTTAAATTTTTATTTGTACTAGATAATGTACTTGACATATTTAAGTTTCCGAATGAATGCATTTATTCCCGACTATGGGAATCCAGACCTTTAAATAATGTGTTATCATGGATGACCAGCTCTGTATGTGTGTTTGAAGTAGAGGTGTACATTATCGCGTATTGAGACATTCCTGCAGCGGTGGAAGAAATCCCACGTACTAAACGTTGGCAGCTAGAGAGACGCACGAACTCTGGACAGTTTTGCAACGGTAGTTACATGAACTCTAACCAACAATTGTTTGTGTAAGAACAGTACTGTAAAGTCTTATGTCAACCCCTTTGGTCTCGCCATTCCGTGCTTCTTATTTTGATTGAACACATTTAAACAAAAATCTTCAGATTATTTGCACATGGCAATAAAACATTTGTCGAGTCGGATATAACGATATTTTAGTCGGTGTATTAATACTTTTGTTATAATTTTTTGTGTATTATTTTTTATTTTTTTTTTTTTTTTATTCGTACGAGTGTTGAAGGTGTGCGTGTTGTGTGTGCATGTGTGCAGATGTTCTTTGCATTTTGTTAGCACTGTGATAAACTTGTTTGCACATACTCTTTTTCCCCTATTCAAAGCTTTGGTTGCAGCGAGGGAATATATTTCCATGCCTTTATTACATAAATAAACAATTTGTCATCACATAAACTACGTGGTTGAATTTGTTCTTGATTCAATTTTTCAGAAGGAAAAAAAAGAGAAAATCATAATAACCCATACCTCTGAAATTATTTAAGCCCATTTAACTTGATTGTGTGATCTATTTTTTTTTTTTTTTTTTTTTTTTTTTTGCTAATGTCATCCGTCTTGAGGGAAGACTTTATAGTCATTCTACTAGTTCTTCTTCCCAAAATTTTGTGCACACAATTTCTCAGTAAGAAATTTTGAAAATTCACTTCCGATGCCGAAGTTGTGGACATGAAATTATGTCCGCGCAAGATCTAAAGAACGGCTAAATATATGAACTGGAGACTTGATGGAGATGCTAGAACATGACTTATAGGTAAAAAGAATGGCTTTGGTGCGTTATCAATACTTCCGGTCGATACCGGAAGCGAATATAAATTGTGTTTATTATATTTTATATTTCAATACTTTTCTAAGATATTCATTTGGTTAACAGATACTTTTATTAGAATGTTAAATATATAATTGCCTTCTTAATTGATTAATCCATACTCTAGGAATTCGTCATTTTTCACTTTGAAGCGATGGTCTTAACAAAATGGTTCGCGTTTTGGGTTTCCTCGGGGTGTACCCGGGTTTAATGGAAAGTCAATTTTTTCATTCTTTTAATTCAAATTTAAGAGTTTATCTTAAAAATGATGTCTGGGAGTTACTTTTCGTTCAAAATTTGTTATATTTTCATAATATGCAATTTTTATTATATTTTATGTATGAAGGATATAGCGAAAATGCTCAACGTAATACATGTTAAGAATGAGAAATCACCTTTTCTGATGACAGAGAAGGGACAGAAAATGCCATGGCAACAAGATATATAGTTTCTAGTATGTTTTGTAATGAGGAAAAGCATTAATCTCCTAACATTCTTAATTTAGATATCGATAATTGTGCGAACAATCCCTGTATTCATGGTGCCTGCACTGATCTTACAAATGGGTATATTTGTGTCTGTCAAGCCGGGTATACAGGACAACAATGTGAAACAGGTAACATGAAATGAAACTTTCATTTTCAAATACAATAAAATTTCGAATTAAATATATGTTTCTTGAATACCTTTGAAAAGAGTAAGATGATAGAATTGAATATTTCTGCCCATTGTTTAAAGGTTGCTTGCTATGACTGACTGATTACGGTGGAAGGGTCTATTACTTTTTACATGTATTGATAGAGAAAGTTCTCCCAGATAAGTTTATTCTCCTCTCTGGCAAACTTTTGGTGATTCTTAAAATTACATAAAAGAAAAATTAAAGCTCGGGTGTCAGGGAGATATTGAAAATTAGTCTAAATATAGTTCTGTGTTTCGTCAGGCTCCAACTAGAGACGTATAATCCGAATGCGAAGTATTGGATATATGGGAGTATCAATATATTCACTCAGATATAAATACAATTCAGTTACGTTTTCTACGTTACACAGGCATGGTCGTCCAGTAAATTGTACAGGTTTGCAAAACTATTCTCCCTACTGATTTTAAAGATCTTTAGATAATAGGTCTTCCTGAAAGTTTTCTTTCCCAAAAATATTCATGTAATAGACATCACTTCAGGTGCCTCGAAATAAACGATTATTTTTTTTAAACTAATCTGAAAATCGAATTGAAATAAATTTCCCATAAAAAAGATCGTATTGCATTTAGAATATGGTAAATATTTGTAAACCAACTATCTTATTATCTTATTAATATATGGATAATTTTTTAATCGGTGTAATTTTTTATATAGAAAAGAAATGAAAATATCATGGTTGAGCGGTTGTGAGTAGAAACAGCTTTGCTATTTTGAGACATTAATATAAATATCAAGATTTTGGAAAAAATAAACTTATGTCAATATGGTTTATTTAATCTTTTTACCTTATAGCAAGAGTATTTTCAGCCACTCTTCGTGAGATGGATAAATAATGAGAGTTTGCCTCATTCTTAGTATTTTCATAGTGAAAAATGCATTTAATTTACACTGTGAAAAAATATCTCCATTCAAAAAACTCATTTTTAAACAATGGATAAATTTCTTTCCCTGTTCAAAATGTAATAAATGTATTAACCCATTGAGGAAATAATCTTTTTTAACCTTTTTTATTTCTATTAAATTCTCAATATTTTTTTTTCACTAAAAAAAGCATATTCCCCATTATCCCAATAATTTTCAATACTTTTAATTCAAGTACTTTTCAAATGAGGAAGGCAGTTGTTGCGACCGCGTAAACTTTGCATTTTCAAATTATTTTGATTCTCATTTATTTCACTGTTTAAAATATAAGAAATTTATAGAGCCATTGTCTTATTATCCTAATACCGAATTATTTTCTTCATCGATACACTTCTTCATAAGGAAAATCAGAGAAAATAGTCTATTCTTTTTTTTATTTCCTTTAAAATTCTAAAATTTCTTTTACTACAAAAAGCATATCGCCAATTCCATCACGGATTTGAATACTTTGAATTTAAGCACATTTAAATGAGGAAGTCAAATGTCGTTCTGACCTCGAAAACTTTTCATTTTCACATTATATTCTTCTTATCTTAGATATCGATGATTGTGCTAGCAACCCCTGTGTTAATGGTGTCTGCACTGATCGTACCAACGGGTATACTTGTGCGTGTCATGTGGGTTACACAGGAGAACAATGTACAACAGGTAAAATGAGAGAGAACAATGTTAAAGAATACATAAGTGCATGTTTTATTTTTCCAGGATACGTAGGAAAACATATAACGAGATGGTATATTAATATTGATCACCATTAAATGAAATATTTTTATGCCTAAATTTTACAGCATACTTTTTCCTGCTACTAAATGCTGGTTTCTTTCATTGGTTACTTAACAGAATATGGCCCGTTACTTTTTTGCATTCTTTGAAGTGAATAAAATACAGAAAAATGTATCTTCTCCTTTTTAACCAATATTAAAATCATTCTAAAAATTGAAGAAAGAAAAGAAAAGAAAATTTATAGAACCTCAAATGTAATTAATTGGAAATGAATCCTAAATACAGTTTTGCTATTTCCTAAACCACAGGTACATACTATTAAAAACAATGTGAGGGAATTGAGCCATGTGTGTTATTAAATTAAATATTCATTCAGGAACGAGTACAATTAAAACAGGTTTTGCGCTTCAGTAAGGCGTGTTCGTCTAGTAGGTTTCACATACTGTAAAAATCACATATTTTCGTGAGGTTAAATTTTTGCGTTTTGAGAATGAATATTTTTTTGTGGATTTGAATTTGTGATTGAAAAAGTGTTGAGTTGTTAGGCAATTTACATGTTATATTTCGTGGAGGATATAAATTCTTGGTCTCTTCATACCACGAAAACAACGAACTTAAACTCCAGCTTAAGAGAATAACCCAAACTTCTGAAATTATTTATGCATATTTACCATTATGTCGTGATTTATAAAATTTTTATCTCTCGTACTTTTTTGTAACTAGGAAATGCATTAAACTCCCATCATTCTTATCTTAGATATCGATGATTGTGCGAACAATCCATGTGTTAATGGTGCCTGCACTGATCTTACAAATGGGTATATTTGTGTCTGTCAAGCCGGGTATACAGGGCAACAATGTGAAACAGGTAAAATATAATAAAACTTTATTTTCAAAGACAATAAAGCTTCGAATGAAATATATGTTAATATTTCCCTGAATACGTTCGAAAAACGTGAGACATAGTGAATTCATACCAATCAGTATTGAATTTAGTATTTAATATACTAGTATCTGTTTAATTGGATATTTCTTCCAATTGTTAAAACGTTCCTTGCTATGACTGAATACGTACAATTATATGGTCCGTTACTTTAAATAGTAAATTATACTTTATTGTGTTCTCCTAAGCTCTAACTACATGATAAAAAAGAATGCGAAGAATGCATTTTGGGGAGTACGAGGGCTGTTTAGGAATTATTGAGACATTCATATTTCCTCCATAAGGGAGAGAGAGAGAGCAATTCATGACTAATTTATGAAAATTCGACAACATTTTGTCCAAAACAAAATAACCAAATATGTAGTTTTTGAAGATCAAGTCATTCTTTTACTACAAAAAAGCATATCGCCAATTCCATCACGGATTTGAATACTTTGAATTTAAGCACATTTAAATGAGGAAGTCAAATGTCGTTCTGACCTCGAAAACTTTTCATTTTCACATTATATTCTTCTTATCTTAGATATCGATGATTGTGCTAGCAACCCCTGTGTTAATGGTGTCTGCACTGATCGTACCAACGGGTATACTTGTGCGTGTCATGTGGGTTACACAGGAGAACAATGTACAACAGGTAAAATGAGAGAACGATGTTTTAGAATACATGTAACATTCCATTTAAGTGCATGTTCCCTGGATACGTAGGAAAACACGAAATGGGATGGTATATTAATGTTGATCAGCATTTAACATTTTTATCCGTAAATTTTACAACATATTTTATCTGCTACCGATTGATTACATCTTATTTCTCTCACTGGTTACTTACAATGTTATAATCCGTTACTTTTTTGCATACTTTGAAAGCGGAAGAAAAGTTGGCAAATAATTGTACCACCCTCCCCAAATTAAATGGTTCTTGAAATTGCAAAAAGGGGGTGGGAGAATAAAATTAATAAAAAATAAGATGTAATGAAGAAATTTGACATTGGAAATGATATCTCTATACAGTTTTGTTTCCTCATTAAACCACAAGTACATATTACTACAAAACAATGCGAGAAAAGGAGGATATGTTTGTTAATATATATTCATTCAGAAACTAGTACAGCTAAAACAGGTTTTGTGGTTCAAAATGTCCGGTAGGTTCCCACATTGGCAAAACTGTATTCCCTACTTATTTTCGAGGTTTTAATACATCGAAGTTATTTTTTTTTCATAAAACATATTTATATATCAATTTATGTGCCTTGAAATTAGTGATAAATTTCCAGCGAAAGTTATTATTTTTACTATCTCTGTACTTCACATCGTAAAATTAAGCTCAATTAAGGATCATATTACATTAAAATACAATAAATTAACAATCTGCCATGATCTTTCACAATATGAATGATTTTGTTCATAAATTTTTCATTTTTCAGAGAGAGAGAGAGAGAGAGAGAGGGATTACCCAAACTTCTGAAATTATATACGCATTCTTTTCATTATATCTTGATTTATAAAATTTTCATTTCTAGTACTTTTTTAAGAAAATGCATTAAACTACTATCATTGTAATTTTAGATATCGATGATTGTGCCAACAATCCCTGTGTTAATGGTGCCTGCACTGATCTTACAAACGGGTATATTTGTGTCTGTCTAGCCGGGTATACAGGACAGCAATGTGACACAGGTAAAATAGAATGAAATTTTATTTTGAAAATATAATAAATTTTCAAATTAGAAATATCTTAAAATTTCCCTGAATACGTTTGAAAAGAGAAAGAGCATGGTAATCTCATATTAACCGGAATTGAATTATCTTATACATCAATTAAATTTTACATGTCTACCTACTGCCGAAAGAATGCTTGCTATGAATTACTTCTTTTAATTATATGGTATTACTTTTTGCATATTTCGATAAAATCGGCAGATAAGTGAGTTTTTCTTCTTATCAAAGTTATTCTATTCTAAACATTGTATTGAATGAAAATTAAATCTCAGATGTTAAAAAGAAATACGAATTACTTTAAATGCAGTTTTGTGATCTCTTAAGCTCTAGGTACATGATGAAATGCTAGGTGTGCATATTTTTGAGTAATTACGTATTCAGTCAGGTGTAAATACTATTAAGTCAGGTTTTGTATGTCACAGGTTTTGTACGTCACAAAAGCATGGTCGTCGACTAAGTTTCAAAGTTTCAAAAGTTTTTTTTTTCGCAAATTATGTTCTCTACTGATTTTCAAGGTCTCTGGATAATACGTCTTCTTGAAAATCTACTTTACCAAGCATATTCATGTAATGGACGTATCAAATCACGCGCCTCGAAATATTTCCCTCTACCTGATGAATACGAAGGATTCACGAGAGGTGTGACATGTCGACAGGGGATGCTTACTCCACCTCAGCACCTGATCCCGCCCCTGTAATTTCTTTCCGGGAATCTGTGATTTATACCATTTTTCATTGATTTGAATTGTGTTTAAGTTTTTTGTGATCGATCACTATTTTTCATCACTTTTTTATGCATCAGAATATTTCCGTCTACTAACAAATGCTGATTTTTATTTTTGACTATTTGCTTTGATTTTCTCTCTGACCATTTGAATACAGATGTAAAGTAAAAGATCTTAGCAGATAAGATTTCCTATTTGCCAAATATAGTGATTCTGGAAATTACAAATAAAAAAATAAATAATACCCCCGATGTTAGGATTTAAAAAGAATTTAAAAGTAAGTATGAATACAGTTTTATGATATCGTAAGAGACAGGTACATGTGGAAACATGGCAGTATGTTGGAATGTGGATATAGGTGTTAACATATATTCGATCAAGTATGAGTAATATTCAAAACAAGTAACTGTAAGTTTCACATATTCACAAAACTGAGTTCCCTGCTGATATCCAAACTCTTTAGTTAATTACTCTTTCTGAAATTCTTGTTCACCAAACATTTTCATAAAATGGACCTATCACTTCAAACGCATCGAAACAAGTGATGATATTTTGGAGAAAGTTAATAGTTTCTTAGAAGAGTTGAAATCCTCGGATGTTTTTAGACGTCTGTATTTGTGTTGCTCCGAATTTATATATTGTTCCAATTGACTATTGAAATTTATTACTGTTCGTTATCCCCATATTTAATCATAGCAACAATATGTAGAGATTTTTTGCAGCTTGTGTCGGGATAAAATTTATTTACTGTCGCTACCTCATAACAAAACGGTTTTCGTGAGAGAAATGAAAATTGAGAGTTTACCTCACTTTTTATATCTTTCACTATAAAAAAAATATCACCTTTAAAAAATATTTTTATTCAATGCATAAATTCCTTTCAATGTTTATAATGTAATAAATGTATAAAAACCATTGTCTTATTCTCATATTTTCTTCATCTATTTACTTCTTCATAAGGAAAACAGGAAATAATACTTACCTTTTTATAAGTATTAAATTCTCGTTATTTCTTTCTCGACAAATGCCTATTCCCCTTTACACCTTGTTTTTCAATACTTTTAATTTAAATACCTTTATAAGTAAGGAAGCCAGTTGTCGTTCTGAATTCATAAATTCTGCATTTTCGAATTATTTTGTTCTAATCCTAGATATCGATGACTGTGCGAACAATCTCTGTGTCAATGGTGTCTGCACTGATCGTACAAACGGGTATACTTGCGTCTGTCAAGCGGGTTATACAGGACAACATTGTGAAACAGGTAAAATGCGAGAGAACGATGTTATAGAATACAATGTAAAATACCAATAAAACAATTTTATTGTTTCCGGGGTACTTAGGAATGACACAACGGGATGGTATATTGATATTCGTCAGCATTAAATCAGGTCGTTATACATAACTTTTTCTGCATTACCTTTTTGCATTCTCTCCTGTTTTTAACCAAAATCAAAGTGAATCTAAAACGTTGCAAGAAAGAGAGAGAGAAAAGAATTGAAAAAAAAATAAAAACCCTTGCCTTTATACAGTGATTTAAAAAAAAAAATTATGTCTAGTACGTTTTGTGATTTGGAAATGCATTAAAATCCTTTCATTCTAATCTTAGATATCGATGATTGTGCGAACAATCCCTGTGTTAATGGTGCTTGCACTGATCTTACAAATGGGTATATTTGTGTCTGTCAAGCGGGTTATACAGGACAACATTGTGAAACAGGTAACATGAAATAAAATTTTATTTTAAAATACAATAAGCATTCTATTAAATACTAGTATATATTCTCCTAAATACGTTAGAGAAGAGTAAGAGCATAGTTAATTCTTATCGTTCAGTACTGAATGAGACCGTGTAAACCGAGGTCCCGTTTCGCAGTAGGAGCTGGCACGAAAAAGATCCCTCACAGCTCAAAAACCGTAAGTGCCGAGTATAGGACAAAATTTGCAGCTCTCCACCGGTGAGTGGTGGCGTCTCAATATGCGTGAATTTTCGCGAAGGTACGTTAAACAAACAAACTAACTTAATGAAGTTTTTTGATGTGTTAGGCGCTAGCTGCATAGTGAAAAAAATGCTCAGAAAGTATTTTTGAGAGTACGAGGGCTGTTTGCGAGTACGAGGAATTATTGAGACATTTACTTTTCCTGTTAAAAGAGACAAAGAGACAATTTCATTAAAATTCGCCACTATTTCCAAGAACAAATGAAACAAATGTGCACAATTTCTAGTTAATAGTATCATTAGATAAATCCCGTTGAAATTATAAATTTTCATTTGACCAATGATCTGGAGCAGTCGGCAGAGATTATCGCTATGTCGTTTTTATGACACGTCAGCAGTAGATTTTTTTCTCATATTGAAACGATCGGAAAGCATTTACTCTTCCTTTTCTGACATGACTTAAACACATTGAGAAATTAAATGTTGTCCTTTAATCTGTACAGGTTTGCCCTCCAACGCACACAAAATTTATGCATGCCTGCAGCTTCATTTTGCCGTCGAAATCAGATTTCTATTCCATGATGGATATCTTTTTATGATCTCCCTTTTTCTTATCGATATTCTATCAAAATTGCAAATGATGAAGCCAGAATAAAAATGGAAAAATTATATACATGTAATTTTCCCCATGTACTATGGGTCCACCAGAACTTAGTACGTAGTGCTTCCTTTCATTATCCGATTTCGTAACTGCGCCGGGTACCCCTACTATTGACTTAGCAATATACTATAGAAAAAAAGATATTTCTCAGATGTTAAGGAGAAATAGGAAGTTAAACTATTAAAGTAACTATATATTTATTCAGGTATAGATACTATTAAATTTTGTTCTACACGTCACAAAGGTATTGTCGTCCAGTAGGAGTCAGAGATCGTCGAAATATGTTCCCTACTGAATTTTTAAGGTCTCTTGATGATAAGTCTTCAGGACAATTTTCTTTACCAAAAGTGTTCATGTAAAGGACGTGTCATGTACAGTGATTTAAATTGCTTCCATTTCAAACTCTTTTCAAAGAGGAAGTTCGCTGTAGTTGGAGCCTCTGTAATAAAGTCCTATCATTCTAATCCTAGATATCGATGATTGTGCTACCAATCCCTGTATCAATGGCGTATGCGCTGATCGCACAAACGGGTATACATGTGTCTGCCCAGCAGGTTATACGGGGCATCAATGTGAAACAGGTATATTTTTTTAAAATGTAATGTTAAAAATTTAACAAATAATCAAATTAAGTAGTTGTTATTGTTTTCCTGAAAATATGGGAAAACACAAGAGGGTGATAAATTCTTATTGAGTAGTTTTTGTTTTTTGTTTTATCTATTTATTTATTTATTTTGTTTGTTTGTTTGTTTTGTTTTTTTTTTTTTTGTTGTTGTTGTTGTTGTTTTTTTTTGGGGGGGGGGGGGTTGTTTTGTTTTGTTTTGTCTGTTTGTTTGTTTTTTTAAGTTTTACAAACACTAACCTTTATTACTGCATATAGTACATGAATATACACATGTATGTTCTCCAAAATATATCAGTCACCTGATACCACCTCCTGAATTTCCGGAGGTCCGTGTTTTATGCCCTGTTTACAGATTTGTATTATTTTGAGTTTTTTTAATCAATAGCTGTTTGTTATCGTCACATTTTCATTTATTAGAATATATCCGCGTGTTTGAAAATGCATACTTTTATGTTTGACTACTTACTATTTTGGTCTGTTTCTTTCGAATATGATATGGAGAATAAAATCTCAACAGATAGGATTTTCTCTTTTTAGCCAAATTATTGTGATGCAGCATGTTTTTCAATAGGATAGAACCAATCTCTATACTAAAGAGGAAATAAGGAATGTCTGTCTGTCTGTCTATTTATGTAATGTATCACTTCACACTCCTCAAAACAAATGATGATGTTCTGGAGTAAGTAAAGGGTTTTAATTACTGAAACATCACATTGTAAAAAAAAATGCCAGATTTAAGACCATATTGTCTTTAAAATGCAGGCAATTAAACCAAACCCGTATTATTGTATCAATTATGTAGGAAACTTTATTCTGGATACAATTTTCGTACAAAAAGAGAATACTCCATGAAGATACTTCTGTCATTATTTCCCGCATTGAAAAAAAAAAAACAATATTGGAGAGGTAGAGGGGTTTTATTTATTTAAGTTGGTGATTGAATTTATTCATGAGTGGAGCAGGACGTTTCGATTTTTTCTATCACGGGAAGGCACGAGTGAAAATATATGTAAAAAAAATCCTATCTCAGGAGTGAAATCAATCAAATATCCGTTTGCAAAAGTATTTAATTTTCTTTTATAAGTTTTATTTAATTTTCTTTTTGTCTCTGCAGTCTTTTAGTAACGCAGTGTCGGAAACAGTAAAGTTATGGTTAAGCGGTTGTGAGTAGAAACAGCTAAGCAAAACATTCCGCATGATTAATGAAAGTGCAGGTTTCTGATTTTCATAGCTGCCTTTTCAATTAAAATGAAACTCGTAAATACCATATTTTGTCATTGGCCATCTGCAGAACTATTTTCTTAAAAACATTCTGTTTAATCATAGAAGACAAACAAGAACTCTGAAGCTGAAATAAAAAAGATATTTGAGTTTCTGATCGACAATATCTATGTAGTTTTTGAGGATAAAGTCTTCCAATAATCTGTTGGAATTCTGCTCGGTACGAACTGAGCCAAGTTAATAGCAGACGTATCTTTCTATTCATATGAAGCAAAATTTACACAAGGACTTCTACATGAAAAAAGAAGTCTTTTGCTGTGGTCTTTAATTTTGCATTAAGATATGTGGACGTCGTTTTGTCAATTGACAATATCCATTTTCATTCATAAATTGATTCGATACATCCCTTTGAACTCGAAATAAATATACTACAGAGTATACATTTAGACTTTGGATACTTTACTAGAAAAAGAATTCATGGCAAACTATCAGCAAAATATTATGATAAACGTGATGACCTCAATATTCCTATCGTCCTATTTCCTTATTTATGTTGGAATATACCATTATCCCCTACATATGGAGTTTATGTCTCCAAATTTATTCGATACAAAAGAGCGTCTCTACGAACGGATTCTAAGATGAGACAAGCTATTGATAAATAAGTGGATGATAAAATGATATAAAGACTATCGTTTAAAGTCAACATTGAGCAAATTCTATTGTCGACACAATGACCTTCTTAGCAAATAGTACAAACTATCGTTAAGTCGAATGTTGACTAACCTTTTTCATACATATTTTAAGGCCATTATTTTCATTATCAAAACAAGAAGCACACAGCGGATGTGTCGGGTTGACAGGGGATGCTTTCTTTTCCGTTGCACCTGATCCTACCTCTGTTTTTTAAAGGTCTGTGTTTGTTCCTTTCACGATCTGTACAGTTCTAATGGACTTCTGAACTTGAATACTGTTATCAACAAATTGTCGAAATTTTGACAGCTTCTGTCAGGACGATTTATACACTCTTGTTAACATATATTATAATCATTTTCCAACAGAGTAATGAGAGTTTACCTCTCTTTTGATATCTTCACTATCAACATATCACTTTTGATAATTTTCACTGTGAAAAAATATCGTCTTCAAAAACAAAAACACTTTTATTCATTCAATAACTTTATTTCACTGTTGAACATGTAATAAATTTATAAACTCATTGTTCTGTTATCATGATACTGATATGTTGTCTTCATCGATACACTTCTTCATAAGGAAATTCACAGAAATAATATATATCTATTACGAGGGTTGTTCGGAAAGTTCGTGGACTATGCCAATCTTCCTTATACTATCTTCAAGAAATTTAAGATGAGCACATTATTATATGTTAAAATATTTATTTTGTGTCAGTGTGAAGTTTCATTCCATGTGACTTAAAAGAATTCATGTTATTTAATTTTAAAATCAACACGTTTTGTAACCAGGGAGCAAACTCAAAAACACTGTAGCGTCAAAAACATACCGACATGAGGTTCTCAAAAATACTATCCCTATACATTTCACACAGTATTCCCCAATACCAGTGCACTCATTAAAAATGTTTCTCTATCACTTGAAATCTACTTTGCTAAGGATTGTTCCAGTACCATCATTTTGTTTGTCAATGATATATTTTTTCATTGCATAAGTGTGCTTTCACAAGATCAGCATTTGTGAAGCGCCAAACTCTTTACGTGATGTTGCTAACTTTTCAATGTTTTTGATATTTTTTTTTTTACAGATGAACTGTTTTCTCACAAATCATTATCGTCAAAGCAGAGTAGTCTATCAATCAAATTCCGATTGTACCATGTACACACACATTCATGACTCGCTTTTGATATATTTCATACTTCCTCCGGCATTTTCATAGTTTTTCTTCTGGAGTTTTGAAGAGTACGAGAAAAAAATGGTTTGGTTTATTGCTGCTCCGTGACGTTCTACGACGTCATCTTTTTTGCCATTTTCAATGAGGACTACCTATCTTCTGAAACTGATTTCTTTTCAACGAAGCAAAGTATTAAGTCATAATTTGGAATCAGAAACGATGAAACAATTCTTAATTTGAACGTGTAGAATTTTTCCGTTTTTGTGTCATTTTACAGAAGATATGACTTCAGACATTATTTAGTGTCTTGATTGTAAATTACAAAATTTTGACCTGCTCCGTGATCCGATTTTCGCATTTTTAAAGTCTTAATAAGTTTGAAATAAACCACGATATTTTAAAATTTCTTAATACACATCATTTGAATTTACTGTTGAAATATTTCTTCTAAATTTGGATATAATATGACGTTAAATAAAAAAAGTTATGACGGTAGTCCACGAACTTTCTGAACATTCCTCGTATTAGTATCAAATTAAGAATATTTCTCTTTCTACAAAAATATCCATTGCTAATTATACCATGATTTTCAATACTTTGAATTTAAGTACCTTTAAAATGAGAAAGCCAGTTGTCGTTTTGACCTCGTAAACTCTGCATTTTCAAATTACAGTCAAGCGACCTATCAAAGAAAATGCTAAAACAGTCACATATGATTGGTAGCCTCTTAATTCAGGGAATTATATTCTAACAATTTTCAAGAAATATTCATGAATAATTACTTGTTATATATGTACCTGTTTACTTGTTTTCCTGTTCCCTGTCCTTCATCATAAGTTGTGAATCATTTTCAATCTTCTTGACTATAATATAGTCATCAAATATTCTCTTGTACAATTGCTTTCCTATTATTGTAAAAACAATTTGTTTTATCATGTTTCACAATTTTAGGAAAATGTAAAGGAAAAAATCTCCTCATAACATGATTATGCATAAAAAGAAGAAAAAAAAAAACAGGGCGATAATGAAAAAAGAAAATGCAAGATCTTTGATTGCACAAACGTACACAAATTTAATACAGTTCCTGTCGAAGCCATTTAAAGCATGAAGTTACTTTTAAAATGTTTCTTATTGCAACAGGTTTCTATCTAATACAAATCACAAATTATGAAATTTTCCTTTGATCAATATGTTTTTTGTAAACATCCTTCTGCAAAAAAGGGGACAAAGGGGGGGGGGGGGGGGGAGGTAAGCTTTTCATTATATATGTTATCAAAAAACAGCGATGGAATTCAAGTGCATTGAAGTCTTAGACTTCTTTGAGGCAAAAAAATGATGATCGCTTGTCACATTAGACATGGAGTCGCAGTGTTCAGATGAAATATAATGAAAAAAGTCACGGGAGGAAATTTAATGATCGGATATGATAGGAAGTCGCTAAATATAGTTGGTCTATGACAGGTTTGACTGTATAAAGTTCTCATCCTAGATATCGATGATTGTGCTATCAACCCCTGTGTTAATGGTGTCTGCACTGATCATACGAATGGGTATACCTGTGCCTGTCAAATGGGTTATACAGGACAACATTGTGAAACAGGTGAAGTGAGAAAACGATATTTAGAATACATCTAACATTCCAGTTAAGTGCTTGTTACTGTTTCCTGGATATGTAGGAATGACATTAAGGGATGGTAATAAAAATGGCCGGCATAAAATCAGATATCGTTTACATTAAATTTTCTGCATATTTCTACCTGCTACATGTACCAAATGTTGATTTCTCTCATAGTATTGTTACAGTTATATGGTCCGATACCTTTTTGCATTCTTTGAAAGTGAAAAAGTTGGCAGATAAATGCATTTTCTATTTTTTAATCAAAATTAAAGTGATTCTGAAAATTGCAAAAAAGAGAAGAGGATAGAAAAATACTAAAACTCAAGATATAATAGAGAGATTAGACATCGGAAATGACGGCTAAATACAGATTTAAATGTTCATAAATCACTAGTACACATTACTGAACAACAATGCGCGAGAATGGGGATATATGTGTTAATAAAAGTTCATTCAAGAACCAGTACAATAAAAAAACAAGGTTAGCGCATCAAAAAGACGTGTTCATCCATTAGCTTTCAAAAATTTGCAAAACTGTATTCTTTGCTTATGTTCGAGGTCTTTCTATAATATGTCCGAGTTATTATTTTTTTTCATCAAACACATTTATCAATTTACGTGCCTCGAAATTAGTGATAATTTTCCAGCAAACGTTCTTAATTTTTACTACTGTGGAATCATTTTAATTCGTGGGGGTCAATGTTCGTGGGCAAGCAAAATTTTACTTGTTGGTGGGGACTTAATTTCGTGCGTTACTCGTTTATACGGTAGATTTAATGAATTAATATGTTTACAACAATCGTGGGGATGTAAATTCGTGGGTACGGGTGACCCACGAAATCCACGAACATTGGCCCCCCACGAACAATGATGATTCCACAGTATCTCTGAATTTCACATCGTAAATATAAGCCCAATTAATGATCATATTACATCGAATTCTAATAAATAAACAACTTGTCATTATATTAACAACATGGATAATTTTGTTGATAGATTTATTTTTTTATAAGGAAAATTACCCATACCTCTAAAATAATGAACGCATATTTACCTTTCTACCGTGATTTACAAAATGTTTATTTCTAGTACTGTATGTACTGAGGAAATGCCTTTAAATAATATCATTCTAATCTTAGATATCGATAATTGTGCGAACAATCCCTGTGTTAATGGTGTCTGCACTGATCTTACAAATGGCTATATTTGTGTCTGTCAAGCAGGGTATACAGGACAACAGTGTGAAACAGGTAAAATAAAATAAAACTTTATTTTAAGATACGTTAAACATTTTTTTTTATAAAATATATGTTAATATTTCCCTGAGTACTCTAGAGAAGAGTAAGAGCATGGTAATTTCATATCGATCAGTTTTGAATTAAGAGTTTGATACATAAATTAAATTGAATTTTCCTCCCTAAATTCAAAAGATTGCTAGATATGACCGACTACATACAATTATATGGTCTGTTATTTTTTGCATATTTTTTCCTCAACGAAAACTACGGTGCTTTTAGAAAAATTGAAATCTTAAGGAGAAATGGGAAATTATAGAAAATGCATTTGTCGCAACAAGTGGTGCAGTGGCCAGAGCGTTTGTTCAACAATCGCGGAGAAAGGAGTTTTTCCTCACGTCGCGAGTTCGAATCACACTGGAACGTTGAGACAGGTCCTTCGGATGAGATCATATAAACCGAGACCCCGTGTCTCACAGTAGATGCTTGCACGGAAAAGACGCCTCACTGCTCTAAAGCCTGAAGTGCTTAGTACAGGTCTAAATTTGCAGTCCTCCACCGGTAAGTCGTGGCGTCTCAATATTAGTGAAAATTATCGAAAGGACGTTAAACAAACAAACTGAACGAAGTTTTTGTATCTGTTTAGCTCTAGCTGCATTATGAAAAAAGAATGCTAAGAACGTATTTTTGCGAAAACAGAGGGCTGTTCAGGAATTATTGAGACTTTTACTTTTCCTATTTAAAATAAAAAGACAAATTCATGAAAATTCGCAATAATTTTCTTATTAGATAGGTCCCGGTGAAATTATAAACTTGCATATGACCACTGACCTAGAGCAGTACGAAGGGATCATCGCTATGTCGTTTTAAAGGCAAGTCAGCATTAGAGTCTTTTCTCATATTGAAACGATCGGGAAGAGTTAACTCTTCTTTTTCTGTCATCAATCAAACACAAAGGAAATCAAACGTCCTCTTTTCTTAAACGATTCTTTGAAAAATAGATATGCGTTGTTGCTACCCCAGTGTAAAATACCATCAAAATCATATGCAGCTTCATGCTGTACCGACTTTCTACCTCAGGTCCACCTTATTTAATCCGCAATAATTGATGGTCGTCTGGCGCCTTTGGTTTCACACTGTTTGAATAATTTAAGTGAAAAAAATATACCATATTTCATGCCAATGATAAAACAAAGCCCTATATATTTTTCTTATTTAGATTCCTTTTTTGGCGGTTCCTTTAATCTGCACAGGAGTTCTCTTCAACGCACATAAAATTTACGCTTGACGTCAAAACTCATTTTGCCGTCGCAATCAGATTTTTATTCCATTGATGAATATCTTTCTATGACCCCCCTCCCTTTTCTTCTGAACGAATTTCTATTAAACTTGTTTCATGAGTTTTCTTTACCAAACATATTCATGTAATGGACGTGGTATATATAGTAATTTAAATTTCTTCCATTTCAAGCTCATTTCAAAGAGAAAGTCCATTGTAGCTGGAACATCTGTAGTTAAGTCCTATCATTTTAATCCTAGATATCGATGATTGTGCTATTAATCCCTGTGTCAATGGCGTATGCGCTGATCATACAAACGGGTATACTTGTGTCTGCCCAGCGGGTTATACAGGACAGCAATGTGAAACAGGTAAAATCCCTAGAAATTTAACAATCAAATGTCGTATTTGATATTTTTTTCCTGAAAATATGGAGAAATAACTAGGGCGCGGTAAATTCTTATTCAGTAGTTTTTACCTAACCATAACTTTATAACTGCATAGGGTATATACATTCTCCAAATCAATCGATACTCAAGATCATAGTCAAAAGCATACTTTTAGTACGACCAGTTTTAAAAGGAGATGGAACACTGACAGTATATTTGGAGTTGGACGGTTTTTAACAACAGCGTTTTTAAAGTTAGCATTTCGGATATTATATGGCTGTTATAATGACCAAATTTATGCTGTCACTAGCCATTAATTTAATAGACATATTTCATACCAATTGTTAGACACTTGGTTTTATAATAAATTTGACTATTCTGTCTACCTATTGATTACATAGGGATATTGGCTAGCGCGACCGGTCGACAGGAGATACTCACTCCTCCTAGGCACTTGATACCACCGGGGAATTTCCAGGGATTCGTGTTTTATTCTCTGTTGACAGATTTGCATTATTTTAAAGAGTTTTTTTTGTGATCGATTACTGTTTGTTATCTTCACTTTTTGATTTATCAGAATATTCCCACCTACTTATACATTCTGATTTTTATTTTTGACTACTTACTTTGATCTGTTCTGTTTCTTTCGAATATTGATATAAAGAATAAAATCTCAACAGACTGTATTTTCTCTTCTTAGCCAAATTATGAAGATTCTGAAAATTCCAGATAATAAATTAATATAACACTGCCGATGTCAGGGGAAAATATGGAATTGGAAATTTAGTCTAAATACAGTTTTGTGATCTCGTAAGCGACAGTACATGGGGAAAAAGATTTCGTGCCATTATTGCAAGGAAAGGAAAACAAAAAACTACGATAATAGCAAAAACCCACAAGATCTTTTGATGCATAAACGTACACACATTTAACACAATTCTTGTCGAATGAAGATTGCATGTCTCGTTTCACAGGGAGTAGCTGAGTTCAGAAGAAATATAATAAAAATTCAGAGGAGGAAATTTAATGATCGCATATGACAAATAGTCGCTAAATATAGTTGGTCTATTGTTCCTATCCTAGATATCGATGATTGTGCTAGCAACCCCTGTGCGAATGGTGTCTGCACTGATCTTACGAACGGGTATATCTGTGCCTGTCAAGCGGGTTATACAGGACAACAATGTACAACAGGTAACAGAGAGAACTATGTTTTAGATAACATTAAAAAAATCCGATTAGATGCATGTCTTTGTTTCCTGGATACGTAGAACAACATATAACGGGTGGTATATTAGTATTGATGAGCATTAATAGAAATTAAATACTGTTATGCATAAATTCACGGCATATTTTTACCTGCTATCAAACGTCGATTTCTCTTATCGCTTACAGTGATATGGTCTGTTACTATTTTTTATGGAATGTTCCTTCTATCTGATTAATAATAGGGCTATCGACTGGTGAACAGGGGATACTTACTCCCCCTAGAAATCTGTTCGCACCTCTGGAATTGTCGGGGGTCCTTGATGTATGCCCCGTTCACACATTTGTATCAATTGATTGTAGTTTTTTGAGATCAAGCTCTGTTCGTTATTTTCAACTTTTTTATTACATACTTTGAAAGCGAAGAACAGAAGTTTGCCAATAAGTGTACTTTGACACCGCTCTAAGATACACTTCCTCATAATAGCAAAATATAAAATAATTTCACTTTTGAATTGTATAAAAGTATCAAACTACATCAAAACTTACCACTGCATTCATATTTGTCTTAACACAACAAGATATAAACAAGCTAATGATCGGAATGCACTTGTCAGCATGACGTCATCATGGTAAAATGATATGTGCAGTGAGAGTCGGATCAAGTTATTTTTGAAAAGTGAAAATTTTATTTTATTTTTTAACAGAATATAGATAATATTTACGGATGTTTGATAGATCATTTATACCTACAATGTATGTGTAACCTTTCTTGAATGCCAGTGGTTAGAGCGTTTGCATTTGCACTAGAGTCGCGGCGTAATGAGTTCATCCTTACGTCGTGGGTTCGAACTCACTGTGTGACGTGGAGACCGGTCCTTTGGACGAGATCGTATAAACCAGTGTAGCAGTAGGTACTCGCACGAAAAAGGGCCATTACTGCTCATAGGCCGTAAGTGCTCATCGTAGGTCTAAATTTGCAGCCCTCCACCGCCAAGTTGTGGCGTCTGATTATGATTTAAAAAATTTTGAAGGAACGTTTAACAACAAAACAAACAAACATAAAAGGGTTGGTATCGCCCAGTAAGATTCCTACTTTGAAAACTGTGTTTTCTGTTGATATTTAAGATGTTAAGATAAGAAATCTTTGTGAATTTTTTCTTTATCAAATATATTCATGTGATGGACTTATCACTTCATGCGTCTCGAAATTAAGGATAATTTTCTAGAGTAAAAAAAATTACTGGCCGTAACTTCAGGTAAAAATATATCCAATTACAAACCAGATTATCATTAAGATACGGTTGATAAATAAATTGTTGTTATTTTATTACATTTTCAACAGTGAAATACTGTAATTTATTTATTGAATAAAAGTGATATTCTGACACAATATGAAAGAATATCAAGATGGTATTCTCACAGTGTGAGAATATCAGAAGTGCGGCAAAACTCTCAATTTTCCTTCCCTTCACGAAGAGTGGTTTTTTATTTTTTTTTTTTAATCCCTGGCCTGTTATAAGACACTTGTTATAAGAGTGACTGACCCTTCCTGACGGAAACTAAAACTACCAAAGTTTCCTCAAAAATGTTGTTGATAATCCATGTTTACAACGTTTTTCAATCTCGCAATCGCTTAGCCATGACGTGTTACGAAAAGACAGAGTCAAAGTGAAATTCAAAGAAAATGTAATAAACATAAAATTCAATATTTTTTTGTAAATGAATATGGAATTTATTTCACTGGTGAGACAGGATTTTTTTTTTTTTATATTTTCACTCTTCCTTTAAAAATATAGAAAAATCCTGTCCCACTCGTGAAATAAATTCCATATTCATCTACAAAACGTTGAATATTCTCTATATACGCTTAATTACATAGATAAGGTTGCTAATCAAAAAATCAAGGGAAAAGAACCCATACCTCTGAAATCAAACTTATTCTCTATATTAGTCTAACTGTGAAGAAAAAAATCTATGCATACTCCTAATGCTATCGCGATCTTCAATACTTTCATTTTTAATACGCAAGAGGAAATGTGTTGTCTTTCTAACTTCTGGAGCCTCTGTATTTAAGTCTAACCATTATTTTCCCAGATATCGATGATTGTGCGAACAATCCCTGTGTTAATGGGGTCTGCACTGATCATACAAATGGGTATACTTGTGTGTGTACAGCAGGTTATACAGGACAACAATGTGAAACAGGTAAAACTAAATAGAACGTAATTTCAAATACATTAAAATACGTGAAAATATTCTGATTTACTAGATACATATATAAGAGCATGAATAATTCATACTCATTCGTATTAAATTAGTATTGTTATATATAAATTAAACTGAATATTTCTGCCTGCTGCCAAAGGCTCAATGTTATTATTGTATGTTCCGTCACTTTGGGTATATTTTGATGGAGAAAAATTTCTTGGTAGAAATGTGTATTTTTTTCTCCTTGGCCAAAGTTATAGTGATGTAATTTTCTCTTCTTGATCAAATTTATAATTATACTTTTGATTGCAAAATTTACAATCTCAGATGTCAGAGAGAAAAGGGAATTCAGTCTCAATGTAGTTTTGTGGTATCTTAAGTTGTAGCTACATGTGGAAACAAAATAGTACGTGAGTTATCGGAAATTCATTCGGGTATAAGTACAATAAAAACAGGTTTGCTTGTCACATAGAATTTTATATATCTGCAAAACTTGGTTTCCTGTTGATATTTGAGATCTTTAAATATTCATGAATTATTTCTTTACAAATATCATTTAATGCACGTCTCTAGACACGCAACTCAAAATTAGGGTTATGTTCTTAACATATCATGGTAAACAAAATGTGTAATTACTTACCGTACTATATTGAAAATATATTGCAAGTATGTAAAGTAAATGAGTTATTAACATCTATAGTTTTATTTTACTAATTATGTAAAGAATTTTGTTCATCAATACAGTTTTTCATGATAATTAAAAGCAGAAAATAATCAAAAAATTTTAAATGTCAATGAGATACTCTCATTGACAAAAATAGCTATATATTACTCATCATACGTATCCTTTCGTGATTTACATTACTTTAACTTCTAGAAGGCTTTAAAGTAAGAATCTCGAAAGGTCTTCACCTATGGATACTCTACATAAGAGTCCTTTCTTTTAATCCTAGATATCAATGATTGTGCAAGCAATCCCTGTGTTAATGGTGTCTGCACTGATCGTAAAAACGGGTATACTTGTGTCTGTCCAGCGGGTTATACCGGGCAGCAATGTGAAACAGGTAAAAATAAAGAGGGAGTTATTGAATATATTTTTTTCCTGGAAAACATAAAACCATAGTTAATTTATATTAAGCAGTATTAACTTTATAAGAATATTTAATTGATAATTTACTGAATTAGTATTTCTTTTAAACTTTAAATGCTTACATCTTTAATTGACGATTAACAGTGAAATAGTCCAAAATCTGTGTATATTTTGATGAAGAAATAATATTTGAATGATAGGTTATTTTCCTCTTCTTAACCAATTATAAGGTTTCTGAAATTGAAAATAAAAATAATAATACTTATGATAATTAATGCGTTTGGATGTCAAGGAGAATGGGATATTATTCGAAATACATTTTTAACCCTCATAGCCTTTGCTACATGTGGTGACAAAATATATGTTTGAGCTTGAGGCCATGAGCATTTTCATACAAATACTATAAAAGCATTACTTTTTATCTACTCGTCGTAACGATGTCCTCTGTTGATATTCGAGGTCTTTCAATAACAAACTTCATATAAAATTTCTTTAAAAACATGCTAGAATAATGTCTCTGCATGGATACGTGCCTCAAATTCAGTGATAATTTTCTGTAGCATTCGATTTTTTTTTAATAATCTGAAATTTTTTCCTCCTCTTACACCATTTGTCATAAAAATGAAAAAAAAAAAAAAAGAAACCAAATGTTGTTATCGTAGGATTGACTATACATATAATTATGTCAAGCAATATATGAAGGTAATTCATTGAGTTGAGGGAAGAGGGTATGAAGAATTGTTGTATTAATTAGCTGTTTTTATTATTTGAGTTATATATTTATATGTGTATAAGTGAACCATGTATCCATGGAAGATGTATTGATGGAGTCAACGGCTATTTTAAGATGCATCTTTTGAATCTCTTGATTTTTGGATTATTTTTTGCAACCATAACTAGTACATTGGGGAGTTTTGATTCTTTGTTGTTTTCTTTATCGTCCATTTCTGTCTGCTCCAATCATTCCTGTGATAATAAGATCTATTTTTAAATCAGAGTTGCGTCACTTTGATAAGTGTTACTTAAATTATGAGAGTCGCAGTGTAATTGGTATTTCTCACATGTCTTATGCATTCACCCTTAATAAGACCTTTGAATTTCTCTTGGTTGTGAGAGCTTTCCCTGTGTAGATATAAAAATTATTTGTAGATTTAATATATCATGGTGCGTGAAGCTTTTGCATTTATATATCTCATAATTTATGAATGTACTCTTTTTGTAGATGGACGATTAAAACTTTCAGTCCGCAACAAATCATTAACTGACATAATTTGATATATAGATTCATGATTATATTTATCTAAATTCACAACTAATTACCAATTTGAATTTCAGTTGACAAGCGTACTTTCTTATTTGTGGGAGGACTGTCTGGTCTCCTATTGATAGCACTCTGTAACTCTGTATGCATTTGTTTTTTGTACCGATCCCTTAAAAGGTAAATCTCTTTAAGAGTATTTTCGTAATGAAATGAACATTAGACTTTGGGAATGTTTTATATTTAACGTACAATATGTTCTGAAGATTAAAGGTAACAAAAAATTTCGACAATTTACATCAGGAATTTTTTTCTTTCTATCTAGAATTAAACATTTTCTTTTCTTAGAAAGCATAAACGTACAGAGAATTCAACGTCATCAAACAGGATTCGGCAAGATTCTGTCATAGCATGGGGATCAGAAACAACATCTAATCGACCTCAAGCAAGTGCACATAAACAGGGGGTATCCAGTATTTATCCTCCATCAATAGCCATGTCGTTTTAATGGGACATTTTTGATGCATAAAAGAGAGAAAGGTTGATCAGATTTTACTTCTTACAGATAGCTGTATTGTTGTTAAATTATCAAATAAAATAAATCATTTGAAAGAACTAGTCGTGTTTGTGTGTATGATATATGACCTTAGTGAGACTTACAGAAACCCGTGAAAGCAACATTGAACGATCGACTCATAAATTGTGTAAAAAATACGAATCGTAAACATAATAAAAAACACAGACCCTGTGTATCGTATTGTAAATTTTACTTCAAAAGAATTATACTAAATATTTAAGGAGGATGTCGGAAGATATTGTTGTGCTTTAATGAATATGCATGATTGTAAGTTTTTGCTTAATAATCCCCTAAACAAAAACATTGTGACTAATTAAATTTAATGATTAAAAATTAAGTGAAAAAATGAATTTTTCATTGCATAATGCCTTTGGTTTCCTCACCGGTATGGTTTTAATGACAAGCTGAATAATAATGTTGACACCTTGACACCATCTGTAGTTTATAGAATTAAGAAAAATTCCCATGTACTTTCAGTTATGGAAATACAAGTCAGCAAAATGAATTTCCCTTATTTGTTTGGGACGACTATACACGATTCCTTTCAGGACTTTTCTGGAACGTCTGGTGAAACTACCGTCGTATTTCTAGTTGAGACATTTTTTTTTTTGCCCCCAAGTGAACGTAATGAAATTAAAGATAACGAACAGTAATCAACGTTAAAAGCCAATTAGAATAACACACATTTGGAGCAGAGCAAACACAGACCTCTAAACAGGTGCCATGGAGGAGTAAGCATCCCATACTAAAATATCTAGTTGACCGTCAGGTAGTTGCCAAATAGCAGTCAACAAGTCGTTAATTGAATACTCGAAAACGATTGCCCACTAGGATTTGAATGCTATTTTAAAAAGTTGTCATCAGTTTTGCATAAAATAGTCAGTTGACCATCTATTGAATGCTTTTCATTGAGTTGACCATTAGCTAAATGATCATACTTTGAAAGTTTCATTCGAAAAAAGAGTTGACTATTGTTGAACACTCCGACTTTGTGAAGTCTTGCAGAGTTGACTAAAGTTGACCACTCAGTGTTAGAAAAGCTTTCAATTTCTATTTATGTTGGGTTTGACATTATTATAGATCGGGTTTGCAATTTCATAATTCTTGTAACAATCTAGACTTGTGTTAAGTAACTTGTTTCAGTGTGTATTTTGTTAGAAAGTGGAGAATTCTTAATTGAAACAATTCTTTTCGTGAATAATTCAGCTTGTGCAATCCAAATAAGTATAAAATTTAAAGATTATATATATATATATTTTTTTAAATATATTCGAAAGACATAATACTGTAGCTATTATAGGTCCCTACTATTGTGTACTTATTAAAATATTTTTAAATAAAATCCGGTAACTTGTCGTGCGTCAAGTGTTTTGTTGCGTTCCTTGTTGTTTTGTTGATAAAAATATGACATTGCTTTAGACTAATCTACTTGTGAGAGTGAGCCAGCTCAATTGTTATGCATTTTTATATATAGATGTATAAAGATGTATATCATTTTTGTAGCCCATTGTTTTGAATTTTCCCACTCAGAGACATGGCAGCTTTTCCTAGCACATTGCTAGCCTTAGGTTTATCAAACTCAATCAATATTTCTTTTTGGAAAGCAACTTGCACTGACTAATAGAGTATTCAACAGTGGTTAGCTGCACAGAAAATATAGGAGGGTTCAACAGTGGTTAGCTACACAGAAAATACAGGAATATTCAACAGTGGTCAACTATATGTAAATGATTTGGACGCTCTATGATTTGCATGGCAAAAATTCAACTAATGGTCAATTGACGGTCAATTGATCGTCAAGGAACCGTCAACTAAATAATCCGATATAATTCTAATAGTGTTGGAAATATTTGATAAATGGTTGCAATACAAATATTTTAAACACGCCTAGAACAACAGGGATATGTCATCATTTTTTCCGTTTTTTACATAGAACTGTATTCATAAAACAATTATCATCGGATAAAAAATACTGGGCTTATCGTAAAAATGCAAGAATAAATCTATTAAGTTTTAACAATGGGGTTACATTTTTTGCAAAGTTATGAACATTGCTCTTTCGGGGTTTAGCGTATGAATAGACAAGGAAAATCAATCAACACCTCACACTTCACTGTTAGTTAATCTATCAGAGTACGATTTCTTGTACACATTTTAAGGAATGTTTTCACTTTTCAAGATAAGAGCGTAGTTTCACTTTGGTTATACAGCGAATTTCTTAAGTAAGTTATAATTTAGTATAGTACACTAAACGAAAACCTGTTTAAAGCAGGATTTTTATAAACTTTTCCTTAAGTCGAAAATGATGCATTTTTTTTTAAATTTCATGTCAGATTTACAAGCAAAGACTAAAAAAATAAAAGCTTTAATAAAATAATGAAATGTTATCATATCTAAATGTTGTTGAAGGGATATTATAAAAAGGCTTGTGTACCCCTTTGAAATTATGTGCGTTATTTCAGTATGTTACATGTACCCTGTTATATATATAATGTATCGGATGTATGTTAAAATCTCCAATTAAGCGATTGAGGGGCAAAATGAAAACCAACTATCCTTCTGTGTTCAATAATTCAGAAGAAAAAAAAAAAGAATTAAACAGATTACACGATCAGTATGCACTGGTCCAGGCTGACAAAGCAGGTAACAACATTGTCTTTCTTTGAAAGGCTCATTATTTAAAATGTATTTTAGAGGAACTGGGATTTAATTCAACAAGGTGGTTATCCAACTTTTATCCATCGCTCTCTTTCTAAGGAGGGAATTCTTCAAAATCATATGTCAGTTTTCAATATTTTTAATAAACCCAACAACCAACATGATTTTGAATTACCATATCTATATTGGATTCCGAAACTTCATAAAAATCTTTACAAAGATACATAGCGGGTTCAAGTAAATGTTCTACCAAGCCTTTTTCTTTACTCCTCACTAACATATTAACAGTAGTGACGGAGAAACTTCAGGAGTACTGTTCAACAATATATTCGAGAAGTGGTGTAATTCAGATGTGCATACTTAAAAATTCCAATGAACTTTTTTGAAATCACAAAATTTTACCAAAATCGACAGCATTAAAACTTACAACTTTTCAACTTAATATACAACCTTTCCCCACGATGAGTTAAAGTCCAGCCATTTTCGATATCATAGACAGGTGCTTTTTCAATAAAAATGTAACTAATAAATTTACTTACC